TAACGTTGCTACTACCTTCATGATAACTTTCCTACATTGCCTTCAGAAATGAGTGAACAGTTGCGACTTCTAGGTCAAACCTGTCTGACTAGTCCACCTGCGGGAGCACCTCGGTGATACGCAGCAACGCACCGGTCTGCCCATTACACACCACAGCACACGGAACCCAGTGTCGGCAGATGGCAGCGGTCTGACATGATCCGACTTCTGTCCTTCTCTTAGGCTTGACCAAGATTTGGTAGAGGTGCTCTGTTTACATGAGCATGCCAAGCCGGAAACTTTACCAGGACAGAAACCACACCCTGACCTCACCTTCTTAAAGGTGCAGTAACACCACAGCCATTTGTTTTACTTTTCTTTTTTCTTATCGCAGGTAATAAATTAGCTCATTTTCTTGCCTTTTTTAAAGGTAGTAAAAGAGATTGTAGTCAGAAAAGATGGATGTCAGGCTGTCATTGTAACAAACGGACATTATAAATAGGGCTAAGATAATACTAAAAACATAGATATCACTGATAGATATCATAGATATCAGTTGTCAACCGTTTATTTGGTTAAAATTCTGTATTTTTAGGAAACAATGTATCTATTTCTACTTCTTTCTCTTAAAAATTCAGTTTTCAGTTGTTTTTATAATCTTATTAGGTAATTACTATTTTAAAAATACATCTGTTTTCATGAAATGTTTTTCATAAGCCAAGCCTTTGCATTTATGATGGCCTTTGATTTCATTTCCATTCAGTTCCCCGAGTAACTCCACGAGCAACCAAAATGATGCCTCAAACTCCACAAATACACAACAAAGTATGCTTCTCTCTGCATGAATCATCTGAAGGGGGCGAGCTGCCAATGTTGTGCCTTTTTCCAATATTAATAATATAGGGCAGAGTTCATTCTCCTAATGACTTTATGGATAAGCAAAATTTGTTGGATTCGTGAAAACACTACACAGCCTTATTGTATATTGTAACTACTTTATGTGATTACAGTCCCAGATATTTTATTCTAGGCAGATTGTGGTTCTCAGTAGGACTACTATCTGGTGCAGCTGTAATGTCACACAGACTAAAATAACAACCTAATTACAATCATGAGCTTGCATAAGGATACTAAAAAAAGTTTGGCCTGCAGGAATAGGAGTATTGCCTGTGAAGAAAGGGAGAGAGAGCTTTCACGGGAGTCTTACACCTCACAAATCAACACAGCCTAAGCTACAACCATACTCTAACCTAATTTAAAATTGTCTGGAGTCAGAAGGCTAAGCATTTAACATATGCTTACTCATTGTTTCAGTGTGTTTCATTTTCATTTTTTTCTTTTCATTTATTAAACTCATTTGATCTGAAATGCACTTTCCTACCCTTTACAAATACTAGGACTGGACTGTCAGACTGTCGTTAAAGTCAATGCATGCTCTGGTTTTTTGTCATTATCTGCAGACTGCTAAAATTTTAAGGAGGGCTGACTGTAGGATGTGCTTATTCCTGAAAAGACAAAAAAACCCCAAAAAAACCCCCCACAACAACAACAACAACATACCAAAAACAAAACATACCCTCCTACCACTACCCATAACTTTAATAATAATAATAATAATAATAATAATAATAATAATAATAATAATAATAATAATAATAATTTCTTTCTTTTGCTCAAGTGTCTTGAGAAAACGTTAACGCCCATTGTTTAAAACAGTGTATAATGTCAACGTTTTGAAGATGGAAAAGTCTGGAAACATTAAGTTTGTTAATGGAGCACGTAAGGTGGAGAAGGGAGGAGCTCAGGACGGGTGATGTGATTGACGGAAACTTTAGCAAATCACAATCCACAAAAGAGTAACGGGGACTGCGCCCTCTGGCGGCGTTTCCTGTAGGTTTTTGTTTGTGCCCTTCAAATTGGAATCAGATTACTGGGAAAACCATGATTCATCATGAAGAGCCAAATATAGAAAATAATAATATGTTAATTCACGCCTCAAATAAGGGCCATATGCTGGAGAAATGCCGGCATTGAGCACCATATATTTATCAATAGTATGTGCAAATGGGCAACATTTTTCATAATATTAAAGTACCAATACCAGGAGCTAATAGAAAAGGATGATTGACAAAAGAGTACAGTAATTATAGTAATTATAGTTTTTGAAATTTGTGTTTGTTAAGGGTTATTTCAAATTTTTAAAAACGGAATATTTTTCTTTTTGAACTGTTTAAGTGTTGTTGTTTATTTTATTCTAACTCTTAAACACGCGGAGTCGTTCCATGTCGCACATCTTCTGCTGGTCCATGAATGCAGCACCGTTGGCAGTTCTCGTACATCTGCAAGTAGCGTTTCAGTTTGAATCGTCTGCAAAGCAAACGCCTCAAAATGCCTGTAGATTTGAGCCAGTGGACCGGGTCTCTTGCCCTGCAGGAGGTCGAGGAAAAGCCTGCAAAGCCCCTGACTGTAAAATACGGATCTGTGGAAATAGATGAGCTGGGAAAAGTGCTTACTCCAACACAGGTTTGTCAGCTAACCACTGTCTGTTAGCAAGTGTAGCTACTAGCGTCGCTTCTTGGTGATGCGTTTAAATGCTGTTTAAAGTACTGTACTGCATTTCTCTAAACTAACACTGCATTATAAATGATTACGTGGGATTGGTAAGATTAGTAAGTATTGTAACCGTCTACCACAAATTAATTGGGTTACATAATGCTCCCTGGTAGTATGCCCTTAGTCGATGGCTTTTAGCGCCCCCAAACGGCCTCAAACTCCGGCATAAAAGTGAAAGTTGACGCACTTTTGTCCGCGTGTTGCTGCAGGTGCAGAATCGACCCACTTGCATCGAATGGGAAGGATGTGACTCCAGTAAACTGTACACTTTGGCCTTGACCGACCCTGACGCTCCCAGCAGGAAGAACCCCAAATTCAGGTGAAAGGAGCATGTTAATGGAGCACAGACAGGACCTACTGGGAGGCCACTGAAGTGGGCCTAGGCTTTTCATTTGTGCCGCTTACATTTGACTCTTGATCATGTTCAAAAACACAGTTTCATAGCTACATTTTTTTTTTGCACGAGGGTAATGACAGCTCGAACAGTTTCTGTACAGTTCAGATTTTCAATATCAAACTGATTATCTTTTCTTTCACTAAAGGGAGTGGCACCACTTTCTGGTAGTCAACATGAAAGGAAACGATGTGTCCTCTGGCTGCGTCAAGTCTGACTATGTGGGCTCTGGTCCTCCTAATGGCACAGGTAAGAATGAATGAATGAAGTTTTACTCTAATGAACCTTTGGACAGTGCTGGGAGAATCAAAGTTTCCCAGGTGGCAACTGCCACAAAAACGTCCATTAATATTCAATCTGACTCGCTCTTAAATTTTAGCAGAAGGCTCATAGCTGTGGTGCATGTGTGAAATTAGATTTCAAAACACCAATGATGCCCTGATGCACATGCACTGTGATAACAGAAATGACACAAATGGAAATTAATAAATAAGTAAACGGAACACATGAACAAGTGGAGTCTATAGGTAATTTGTAGAGCTCGTCTTGTATAAGCAAAATGTGTTTGGCACAATTTTGCATACAGATCACAATTCTTACTGGTAAAAGCTGCCAGGCAGGAGAGGGCACAAAGTTAATGTTCTCTTGTGTGAAATGTGGGGAAAAGGTTTAGACATGCAATTTTCTTTTCATGGTATCTGCTGCTCACGCTCTTTGGAGTTTAAAATAAACTAATTTTTTCTTTCTTAGTGTGTAATTCAACGTTTAAAATCCTGTGTGCTTGTCCAACTCAGGTCTCCATAGGTATGTGTGGCTGGTGTATGAGCAGTCAGGCACCCTGTCCTGCAGCGAGCCTGACCTCACCAACCGCTGCGGAGACAACCGCGGCAAATTCAAGATCCAGAGCTTCAGGGAGAAATACAGCCTGGGAGCACCAGTGGCAGGAACTTGCTACCAGGCTGAGTGGGATGACTATGTCCCTAAACTGTACGAGCAGCTGTCTGGAAAATAAAAACCCCCAAAAAGGACTCAACAGAATCACCCCAGCAGCATTATTAAAAACTATTATTTTCCCACTGTTGCCTACTCATGCTGTGAAAAAAAAAAAAAACAACTCCTTGGCATAAACCTGACCTGTACTCAGCTGCAATAAATCTGATGGACAAAAAATGGTTGTGTTCCTTGGAGAAATGTTTTCTGTGAGATCTAGAACACCTTGCTGTCTGTCAGTCAGCAAGATTATGCCAAAACTACCAGGACAAATTTCAGAGGAAGCTCTCAAATCTTTACAGCTGATTTAAGGAGCCTTTTTTTTTTTTTTTAGCTGAAGGGGCAGCAGAGGGCGCCACCAAGAAAAGGAATGAATTGATAAAATCATTCCTACTTCTAACCAAAAAAAATAAAGACCTTTAGATTTTGAAAATACAATGTTGATATTTCTAAGCTGAAATAAAATATTTTGACCATGCCCACAAAATGCCTCTACTAATAATTTGGTTTGTGCCAGGAATGTAAGGCTTGGGTAAAGGATGCATTTCTGTTCGAACATTTTTTTAAATGTAAATGCAATAAATCATTTTAGGAATTTTCCTTTGAGACCTAAAGTGTTCTATAAAAGTTTCATTTTGAGAGTTTAACTATATTTAGTAATTTATTTACAGCGAGGAGAAAGTGATAACCATGAATTTTGAAAAAACAAAAACAAAAAGATCACCAGGCTTTTAGTGACCTTTGTCCATGTAAACAACTACAGTAGTAGTTCCCGCTGGACCATGCAGATGAAGCTTAAGGTAGAATATTAAAGTTGTAGACATGGTTGGTTTAATTCAGCCCAACTTGGTTTTTTAAGGCCTGAGATTTGAGTTCAAATCTTCAGTGCACTTCTCAGGTAAAACGCCAAACGTCCAGGTGGTTGCAAAATTAAACTGAGTTTTTTCCACATCTAATCTTTTTTCCATGCTTTTTCACAGTAAATTCCCAGACCATACCTTAGACATGTAAAACACCTTTTCAGTTTGTGTGATGAGCACTTTATTTACAAATATAATTAAAAGCTCTGACAGATTCATGCCTTTATTTTAACCTGGAAAAAAAAATTAAAGTGCATGCAATAATAAAGCATCATACTGGTCTGGTTTATAAGAAACTACACAGCTCTAGAGTTGTGTAAAGCAAGAAGTGGGGGGGAAAATGAACTGAAAAATCCATTGATAGATACCTGGATTTGGAATACTATCTGAAGAGAGGGGGAGGGGGGGAAAAAGCGCTTTTAAAAATTATTTTTCTGATTTAAGTGACAGTTAAAATACAATACGAAAATAAGTAAAAGCTCTCCATAAATCCTTCTATACACAAAGTACAAGTCCCCCTGCCCTCCCCATGAAGCCCTTTGTGCTAGCTGGGAGTTCACATCTCACGTGTATTATATTTCACATTGGCTGCCAGTGCAGAGAAATCAGTACAATACACATGTTGAGTACCATGATTCACCCACCCTGCAGTAATCACATGAAGGAATCACATATACTATAAGTGTACCTGTATGCACATTGTGAGTTTTTCGTCAAAGTATCAAATTATTTAAATTGGTCCTAAAAATGTCTGCGTGAATAAATACCAAAGAAGCAGCCCAGACGAACAGCTGCGGAAGGATCGGTTTGATTTTTCGCTTTGAGAGATTTTTTTTTGCGCTGCTCGAGACCAAAAAACAAAGTAACAAATATATTTATCGCCTCTGAAAAAGCATGGTTTTGAAGTGATTTTTGCTCATCCTACGACCTTCAATTTTGTCTCCCTCCTTTTTCTCAATTTCCACTTTTAGTCACACCAAAAGTGTCATCATTGCACAAGAAACAAGAAACACTGTGACTATGTTATTCTTACAAAAACATGACAACCACAGGAAGTTATCCAGCATATTTTTTTGTCATCTTGTGACACCACAGAGGCAAGGAGGGGGAGGGAGTATAGGTTGGTTTGTCAGGGAAGGGTGGGGGGACACTCAAACCTGCCATCGACCCTGACTGACTGGCCCAGAGAACACACCAGAGCTGATCTCGAAGCAGTTTCTTTCTTTCTTTTTTTTCTCTTTTCATTTTTTAAAGTGTGTTTGAGGAAGGGCATCAGCAGCTGTGAACACCTGCACTGTCAGGTCAGGTCAAAGGAGAGGTGGGGTGTTCTGAGGCAGACGGTTGCCCCAGGGGGACTACATGAAGATGGCGGCGGCAGAAACAACGGCCCCTCATCTGTAGTCGTCCTTGGGAAAGTCCAAGGTGCCCAGGTTGTTGAAGCCCAGACGCATGCTTTCCATGTCAAAAGTGTCGATCTCCCGCTCCTGGCGTTCCAGCAGGTGTTTGATGCGGTCGGTTCGCTCCTTCTGAAGGGAAACCAGCTCCTCTTCAATCTGCAGGTGACATGGGAACAAGAAATATTCAAAGTTAAATGTAGTTTACTCATTTCTAAGATACATTTGTCTGTTCTTGATGATCATTAGGTTTTGATTTCCCCTCCAGTTTAAATATTAAAAACTTTTTTGTAAGCCTGAAACAGATATAAAGCATCTTCAACACTGCACTTAAAAAAAAACAACAAAAAAAAAAAACAAATACAACTTTGAATGTTCAGTGCTTTAGAAAATAATAGAGGGCAATGTGGGATGGCTGTGGCTGAGGAGGTAGATAGGGTCAACTACTAATCAGAAGGTTGATGGGTTCAATCCAACCCACATATCAGCAAGTGTCCTTGGGCAAAATGCTCGACTGATACTCCAAACAGCGTATCAGGTGCCCGATGCATCCATCAGTGTGAGAGTTGAAGCGATATATGACACATTGCATGGATGTGTGTGACTGAGGGGGTAATGCTTGTAGTAAAAATCTCTTTGAGTGCTTAATTTACCAATATATACAATTAAAATATAAATATAATAAACATACTCCAGTGATTATTTTCAGGCAAGGAAAAACCTAAACTGGGTGACACTATAAAACGTGACCTATGCACCTTAGTTATTCATTAAAAAAAATCAGTTTTTCTTTAAGTATAGTGTATTTGAGGTTTGTCATAGCTCGACTTGTAAAAGCAGAAATGGCGTGGAAGCATTAATGACATCAATAATGCCTGTTCGCAGAGCTGAGAATAGTTTTCTGGTGATGTAATGCAGGACCTCTGAGTAACTGGTGAAACCAGTTAATTTATGCAAGAAAAGCAGAGATTTGCAACAATATTTTTCAACATTATTCTTGGGTTATTTTTTATTGTTAGATTGTTCACTACTCGGTCACTGGGGCAGACCTTTTTGTTTTTAGTTGATATTTTTAATATGCATACCCAAGTCTAGACAGTGAGCATGAGGTACTTTGCTTCCTTGATCAAATGTGTCTTAAGTGAGAATGACAACTGCAGAGCTGTTCATGCTGGGCTTTTTTTTTTAAAATATCCTCACAACATTACAATGAGTATAACTGCAGGCACACTTCATGAACTGCTTTCGTTACCTCAAAGGTGCAAGTCTGTCAAGTTGTACTCACCACAAACACAGCTCAGCACACACGTCCACAGGTGAGGACAAAGCAGTGTGTGGCGCAATACGGCAATCTTGCCAACTACTGAGCATGCACAGAAAACTCCAGACTCTGACCATGAACCGAACCGGAGGACAATAGTGCTTCTAAAACCATGACATCATCCGTCTCGAAGTGCAGATCTGGATGCTGCCAGGAGATGGCAACAGACCACCACAGCCTGCACCGGCTACACTGGATGGCAGGCGGCATTTCGAAGGTCCCTTTCTTTGTTGTCGGAGTGCTGTCTACTAGACTGTATCGATGACGTAGGCCACTTTTGAAGGAGGCATACTCTCATCTTATTACATGTCATTGCTATACCATACAGGTTGTATAAAGGCTCACGTTAAAGACAGCAGATGTCTATCAGGAGTGTCTTGCATCACATTACGGGACAAAGACTGGTACAACTATCAAATGTTTGGAAAATTATAACAAAGGTGATAAAGCCCCATGACAGCTGCTGATATCACAGGTGAGAGCAGGTTGCACACGTTTTAGGCACTTTAGACTGAACGCATACAGCAACCTATCATGAACAAGCTTAATAATAAGCTACACCACATAAACTGTTAGCTGTTAAAAATAGAGGATGATGCTGTAATAAGGGCTCAATACTGTTGTCTAGAGATTTCACCATCATTACGAGTGTGTGGGAAAGAAATGGTTGTCCGCGCCCCGCAGGAAGCCATGCCACTGTCATCACCACCTATGGTGAGGGAAATCTGTGTGTCCGTGTGAACTTGTGTATGTCTGTCGGGGTCACCTTTAATGCCCATGCTGCTTGCTGATGTGGATGCAAATGAATACCCCAATCTGTTTGCTTAAGCTTCAGGTGAACTAGTTGCTTTTCAGCAGATTATCGCCTCTAGACGAAGCTTTAAAAAGTCTCCTTCCTTCATGGATTAATAGGAGTGACGTCAAAGAAGGATGTAGAAAAAATTTATTCAAAACTTAAAAGCAATGCAGTATCAGTCAAAGAAACTGACTTCTGTTTGCTTTATATCTTATTTTTTCATGTTTTGTTCCTTCTAATAAAAGACGGCATGCTACGCTGCATATCAGACTAGGCTGTATATAAAAAATGGACACAGAGTTTCTTGATTTGCAAAGTCAGGTCTTTGAAGTCTGAAACTGAGATTTTTTGTTGCTTTCTCATGTTTGAAACTAGGTGTGATGCATTAGAAAAACTGCTAATACCAACTTGGATCATAATTAGAAAAAAGAACCTTATATTTTATTAAAGAACATTTAAAACTATTGATTGAGATACTATTTTTGCCAGCATGAGTAGTTGCCCCCTATTGGCAATGAGAAAGAATAACGAATTAAAGCGCTTCTGCACTGGCTTCAATTTTCAGACCTGGAATCTTTTATATAACGTCTATGGAAAAGTTAGATGATGTCTGGACAATCATCACTATTTAGGTCTTTAAAAGATTTTACAGGAGAAATAGCGATAAGAGCAAAAACTTTTTTTCCCCCAATTTAAAAGGCACTTAATACAGTGCAAAACATTTGAACTATGGCGGGCTCCAACTAACTTGCAACATCATACTTTTACTCTGCATTAACCCAACTGTATTTTTAATTCTTTCTTTCTGAAGCCTTATGTTGCACTGGAGCAGTTGTTGTCTTACAGGCTGTCAGTAATACAACTTTTCGTTTGTTCTAGTCTTGCTTATGTTCCAGCTCTGTACTGAAAAAGCACATTAGGTAAATTGTATTTTCTTTGATGATGAAAGTCACAGATTTAATTAAATTGATGCAAATATTCTCTATTTGTTGAATCAGTGGGGATACTTTAAGTTGATCAATAGACTGAGGCCAAAAGCTAATTTGTTCTAAATGTGAGGGGAAATAGCACATCCCTATTGCCATGTCAGTGATGGTGTTTTATTTATTAGAGTTTGTCTTGAAGTGTTTGAAGAATTCATTCTCTGTTTTAAAGACAGTACAAAAGATGTTCTCCTTGTGCGTTTCATTTATGGTTACTAAACTGACCAATTATGAATGAACAGGATTATAAAGCATGCTCTATGAAGGCTTGAAAAACCCCAAATGTATAGCTCTCATTTAAAATAAAGTGTTTATTTCACAACACCTTTTGTTCCAGGTGTGCTCGGCGCAGCGACACCTTCTGCTCCAGCTTCTGCTGCTCACGCTCATGCTGCGCCTCGGTCTGCATCTTGATCTTGCTCTGGTAGGCATTGAGCAGCTCCATCTCCTGCTGCAGCTGCTGCCTCAGGGCCCGGCACTCCGCTTCCTGGGCCTCATCCAGACGCAGCTGACACAGCCGACCATGGGCGGCAACACGGGAGAGAGAGGTACAAAGACACAGAGAGAGAGAAGTTGGGGGCGGGGGTTACACGGACAAGGAACACACAAGGAGAGAGTAGAGAGAGAGCGGGGAAAGAAGACACAGAGATGAAATAAGGCGGGGAGGTGGTGACGGAGGGATGGAAGATAGTAGAAGGGCAATGGGGACAGACAGGGCAAGGAAAGCCAGTGGAAAGGGGCGGGAGGAGGGAAGGTTGGAGTAAGACATGAAGGGAGATAGTAAAGGAGTAAAAAAAAAAAAAAAAAAGGGTGTGATACGACGGAGAAAGACAAAACACGAGACAAACAAACAGGAGAAAAATACAAGAACATAAGCAACAGGTGGAAAGAAAGGCTTCATATACTTCATTCATTTAACGTGACCACCTGCACTTTAGTAAAGAGAAATTCTTGTTTAGCAAATATGATGAAATATGAAATGAACGTCTCTCTGCTCACCGCCTGTGAAGCCATCATTTCGTTGATGCTCTGCTCATACTGCTCAGCCAGAATGGCCAGCTTGCGTGTCTGCTCATCCTTCAGGGCCTTGAGCACAGTCTTGTGCTCGGCCTTAGGCGTAACTTCCATCTGGTGGTGGCGTAGGGCTTTGTACTGTTTGGTCTGCACCTTACATGTGTCCTGAAACTGCTTCTTGATCTGCAGCTCCAAAACCTGAAGGATGGGCCAGAAAAACGGTGACAGTGAGAATGAAATCAAGAGTTAAATAGAGCACATTTTTGAAAGGTTAGAGGTCTAATGTCCCAATCAAAAGGCACAGTTCGAGGCTTTGATACCTTAAAGTCAAATTAAAATGAAATCCATAGGTGACATATTTTGGATATTCTTACACCATTTCCCCGAAATTAATTAATTTGTTACATTCATATTGCATCACAGTTTTATCAAAAACTAGATGTTGCTCATCACTTGCACAATCTTAGAAGTGGATCCCAAAGGCAAGGGATTTTTTTCCTTTTAAGGATGATGGGAAAAAGGGATTTGAAATATTTCAAGCACTTATATATCAATCCATCAAACAAAATTTAAGATATTAGATCGACTGGTCTCTGCGCTGACTCACTTTGAGATTCTTGGGTTGCTGCCGGAGCTCCAACACATGCTTGCGATGAAGTTCACGCTCACGTCTGTTGTTGTACTCAATCTGGTTCTCCAGCTCCGTCTGGTGCTGCAGGCGGATGAGGTCCATACGCAGCTTCTGCAGGGTCTTCAGCTGCCTCTGCTCCAGTTCCTGCGTGGACTCATCGTGGCGGATCAGCATGGCATGCTCCATCTCTTTCTGGGTCTTCTTCTTGTTCAGCTCCTAGGCGGGCCACAAGGAGACATGGAGGTTACAGCAAGGGAATAAAAGGATGAATCTCAGCAAGTACTATTGATGAGCATCAATTTTACATCAACATATTCCCTTGCAGAAATCAATTTTACTGTTTTGTGCTTACAGCATTGATTGCAACTAGTAACAGCTGAGAGGAAAAAGGAAGAAAAAAAATCAATAAACATCACATATTTACTTTCCCCCCCCTCTTGCTTCTAGTTTAATCACATTGATTTTGGAGCATTTTCCCACAGAAAGTTTTTGGATTTCCTTAAACTCACTCAACAGCTTTTCAGATTATGGCATTGTTGGCTTGTTTTGTTGTGGATTAATCCTGCTTACAGTTAATATAAAACACCTGACAGATCTAAATAACACACTACTGTCTGCTGTGAAAACATTTGTGGGACTTTTGTACACCAAGATCATAAACACTAAACAAGGGTTTAGTATTCAAACTCGCGATGTGGGCATATATGGTTTGATCAATTCAGTCAGAAGTTTACAGTAGTAAAGTTATCCAAAAGCAAAACATTTATAGATTTACAACTTGCACACGAGTTTTAGAAACTTGTATGTCCTCCACACCTCTCTGATCTGTTCCTGCTCCAAATCGTGCCTCTTGATCATGACTTTGCGCTTGAAGGCGCGGCAGTTCCTGTCGTAAAAGACCCTCTGCTGGGACAGCAGATGGGCCTCCTCCTCGGCCTGGGAATGTTGCATGTTCTCCTTGTGCTTGGACAGACGCTCCTGTTTCTCCTTCTTGGGTGTGCTGTGGTCCTCGTTCATCTCCTGATGAGAGGTGGAAATTCCAAGTAGAAGGGGGAATAGAGAAAGGAGATTGTGTTAACATACACAAGACAGAAGATAAAAGTATTACTAGTAAAGCCTTCATTGTAAGCAGTCAGTGGTGAACTGTGTAGTTTGGGATGTTAATGGATATGTGAAAAACAAATGTTGCCTAAACAAGATATTTGTAAGCCATTTTTTGCTGGGGAATAAAATAGAACCTCTATTCAAATCAACTTCATCAAATATTTTTAGTGAGACCATTTGGTCAACTCAAGGTGACCTTTTATTTTGAACAACAGTTTACTTTTAAAGCCAAAGGAAGAAAAAGAAAATCTTTTTCTTCTAAATAAAGGAATTTTCTTTCCCTTTCATGCGCAATCTACAACTCGCGCTAATGCACTTAACACATGAGCCTGATCCCTGCTCTCTGTGGTGTCTAATTCCGTTATAGCCCTCAGTTGGTGGGAAATATCTCTCTCTGCCAGCGATGCTTTCTCCTAACTGTGCTGACCTAATTTTGGTCACTTATCATGTAACTGAAAACACAGTGTATCACACTGCCAGCCCACAAGAGTATTCTCTGGATTCTTTTACAAGGTTGTGGTGGTTCACAAGTGCTCCGGTGAGCGTATGGATTTCTGACTTTTCTTGTTTGTGTGTACATACATGTGTAGGTACACAGTTGGTAGGGTGAGTGACTCAACACAACTTCCAAAAGACCATGCTGAAGTGGAAGTGTATGTTTGTGTGTGGGAGCCTGATTCTTCAGCACAGAGCGCAGAAGGTCACGTGTCACCCATGAGAAGGCGTGCGAAGGAGCGCGCCTGAGAAGAAAAGAGGAAACCAACGAGCCCAGCATACCTCCTTAATCTTCTCCTTGCAGAGTTTGTACTGCTTTTTCTGATTATCCAGAAACGTGGTTAGCTCCTTCTTCTGCTGGGCCACGATCTGCTGCTGGAACTTCTTCTCGTCTGCTAGCGCCGTCTTCATCTGGGCAGAATAGACAAGGACAAGAGCATGGTTAGATGCCCCTGACCAGCAACAGACAACACGCCACCAAACTGTGGACAAATACATTCATGCACAAACCTATATAAGAACATTAAAGTATATTAACATATATTAACAAAAGTATATTTGAAGACAATAAGTTGGTTGATTAAAATTCTAACACAAACAATGTCCTGCTTAATTATAATATGACCAGTTAAAAATTCTAGTCTGCACTTCAATTCTAAATCAGATGTTAGAATTCAGATAAAATTGCCATAACATTTGTTCTTCTAGATGATGAAACAACCTTTTTTTTTTTTTAAAGAAAAGAGACATTGCAGTTATAGTTATAGAATTCTATGTAAATATCTAGTAACATGTTGGTTTGTGACAGCCACATGTCACCTATTCATGACACCGTTTAGATGTACAGACTCGTCTACATAAACAGATAAACTATCTCCTTGACTGTTGCAGCACGCACGCTGGGTGCTAATCACAAAGATATACAATGTGTTTTTCAGAGCGTGACACTCTGTGACCCAGTTCTGCCCCTGTGTTTCATCACATGTATCATTGGGTGGCAGCAGTGGGTTAAGTTCTAACAAAAACGTCCTCATTACTCATTGCAACACTGAACGGCTTTAAAATAGCAACACTTTAGAAAAGAATAGAACTTTTTGACATGTTTTTCTTCAGCAGCATTAGAAATGTCACAGCTTCAATATTATTCCCATTTTTTCAAAGCTGACCAGGTCCACCAGCCAACTGTTGCATTGTACATGTAAGTCAGTGCGATCATTTGTGAAATAACCTAACAGTTACTGCACTTATTCATAATGTCCTGTAACCCCATCAAAAGTCCCACCTCTTTCTCAGAATGCACAGCATGCCGTTTTGCCAGCTTCTCCAGTTCAATGTAGGCGTTGTTGGCCTGCGTCTCCACCTCTTTCTGCAGCTTGAGCCGATGCTCGTCCATCTCGGCCTTTAGCTTGTTCTCCAGGGCGATCAGCTGCTTCTGGTGCTGCCGCCGCATGCGCTTGTAGCCGGACATCTGTTCTCGCAGCTCACTTTCCTGCTCATGCTCATGAATCTGTTTGGTCACCTGTGGTGAGAGAAAAGTTAGAAGATGCAAATCAAATTACTTCACAAAAAAACAAAAAAAACAAAAAGAAAAACCCCAAACAGTAATGCCTAACTGATTAATTCGATATGATCAAAGTATCTCGGTTCATTTACGAGAAGAACCTCAAACAAAAACGTTACAAAACAAAACCGTTCACCTGTTGTAATCAGACTACATTACTTGCTAGTTTTACATGTACAAGAAAGAATGTTCAACATGTGATATGAAAATAATGACATCAAGAAGCAAATAATTTGAAATCCACCACTTCAGCTGAACAAAAGCTCTTTCATCTGACAATCTCAGATTCGCAGACACTGCACAGAATAGCCGACTTCAAAGTTCCTCAAATGTATTCAAGTCAGAGCGTGGGAAAGAAAACAAAAATGCTGTAAAGACAATAAACATCTACTGTATGACTAAATTTAACCTGAGGCAATGACCTTACTGGTATTTCTTAACACTTTCACTTATTCTTGCTTTTAACCCAAACCTTGACCTGACCCACCAACCTGAGGACAAAAAGGGTTCTCCACATCTAGGTAGTACTCGCTCCGCATCTTCTCATAACTTCCACCTGAACTCCTCAGGCCAAACATGATGGCAACTTTAGCCAAGTGCACCAGCATCCAGGAACCTTGTGCAGCATCCTATGCCCGACAGAACCCTGCCTGAGCTCCGATGCCACCCTGAGACCCCCCCCCGACACACTTTACTGGACGTTGAGCCCCCTCCCTCTCCTTGGTTCGCGCCCTGGGCACGCAGCGGCCAAGGCAGACGTGTGAACTGTGAATGAGGCAGTTGGACACCACGGGCCAACAAGAGCACAGAGCGGCTCTTTAGTCAGGCTAACGCTAAGCGGCGGACAGCAGGTGGGTCACATGAATACCTCATTGAGAAAGACTGAGAGAAGTTGGAGGGGGGTGTTAGAGAGGAGCAGGCCGAGAGATGAGGGGAGGGAGGGTGATTGCAAAGGAGAAACAGCAGATGGAGAGTCGCTGGGAGAGAGTTAAACAGGAAAAATAGAAATAATCAGCAGTAAAATAAGAGCATCTACATGGAGAGAAAAAAAAAAAAAAAAAAAAAAACAGGGTGGGGGGAAATGGGGTGGAAATATGTGGAGGCTGAGCTCCCCTTCTCCTTAATCTGCTCTGAATCAATACCTCTACTGTAATAGAACCTCCCAATCCTAGTCACTTGCTTCGCTGCCACCATGCATACAGCCACAAAGGGCCAAGTCAAGTCATGTGACGGCTTCATTCACTCAAGGCTTTGGGACTGGAAAGGAGATCATATTCAGGGAGAGGAGGGAGGGAAGGCATGCAGGCTAAAGGTGAATGTTAGAGTGAGTGAGAATTAAGCGCCCAAACTTTAATTTTTACTTATTTTGCAGTTCAAGATGATCCGTCTTCACAGAGTTTAACTTGTGTGAACGTGCAAGCCTACTTAAATAGAATTATTGCTGGTGGTGACTGATGCATTTTTGTTTGCAATAAATTATAACTACAACAGTCCACTTAGTTTGATCTCTGTGTTTGCAAGGCATTTAGCGTCAGTGAATATGCAATATCACAATTGTGACTTTATGATAACACAACATCGAGGGCAAGAGCCAGACCTGCATCGATATCAAGAGCCTCAAAACGCCGAAATCCAAGTAAATATTAATGCTCCTGGTAGGCAACAGAAGAAGACTATCCCCTTGTCAAACCTCCATGATTCTTCTTTATCGCTTCCTTATTACATTAAGGAAAACACATTTCAACCCTGGTAGGTACCACATAGAAAAAGCATGGTTGTAGTTTGAATGTTACTGCAGATGTATAGTAGCATGTAGCAAAGACATCTGGTTTACAGGAGGAAGCAAAAGGCCTCAGACCTTTGTATAGCATGCCTTTTTCCTGCCAAATGTGAGGAGATCTCCCTTCTCAAGTCTGATCACAAAAAATAGGACTCAAATGCAAAAGATGTCCATCTAGCTTATTCAATTCTGACACTGACCTGTAAAGAACAAACATCTTAATATATATAACTGCATAACATGAAAGTTAACAAGTACAACTTTAATTCTGCAAGTTGCAAGAAAACTGATGGGGGAGGAGCACATTTTGATATGCCTTACACTACACTTTAATTTCCCATCAGCGTTTATGCTGTCAGGTTACAAACTGCAACCAGCAGCTAAAGAATAGATGAAGTGAAATATTTTACAACAATGTTGTCTCTCACACCAGCTTACACGTCAGTCAGTGGCTTCATCTAACCTATAATAACCCCTGCCCTCGCTCTCACTCACTGTCTCACATTCGTTCACCTTCTCACTTTGCATCCATGTCTTTCCAGTTTTCCTGTCCCCTCATCATTTTTCCTTTTCCACGCATCCCTGGATAATTTTACATCCTGCTCTCCTTCACCTTCTTTTCATGCCTTTTCCACAATACCTCTCATGTCTTTGGTTTTACCCCTTTCTTCTCTTGTTTCCCCACTGCTACATTTATTCAGACTCCACACTTCATTTCACCAGTAAATGTGATGTTCTTTGGGTTTTTTTTGTCAGTTAAGATTTCAATCAGCACTGCTCTTAAGTCTCACCTTTGTTTTCCTATCCTTTTCTCTGCCCTTCTTATCTCCCCAATATCTGCCAGTGTCCTCTATGATGCCTTTACTTTCTCTTTCAGTTCACTAAATCTTTAATCTCTTGCCTTTTCCCTCAAATCACCATGACTTTTCTTTATAAAATAATAGTTTCTAATTATTTTGATTTTAGCTAATAATTCCCCCCTATTTAAACCATTCTTAATTGTTTATGTTTTCTCGCTTGTGTTGCTCTCCATCTTCCTATCTGGCTATCAATTACCCCTTGCCATCTGGACCCCCCCATACTGTCCTACCTCTCCCTCTTTGTCTACCTGCTTCCAGTCTCAGTGAGTCGAGGCCAATGTGAGGATGTCTGTGCTTGGAAGAAAAAGATGATGTAATCTCTTCCAGTGCCGGTGGGCAGGACCGGCACTGTTACACTACAGAGAGGCTGCCTTTTTTCAGTTAAACAATGTGTAATCTCAGCTGCCATTATCTACAAGTTTAATCCACCGCAATATGCATTAGATCAAAAGTATTTTCAAGTATGATTAGAAGTGTTTCTTTAAAGGATAAATGGTAGAAAAACAATTAACAAAGAGTTAAGGTGAGGAAGGAATACTTTTTTTCCGTTTTATGGTAAATTTAAGTGAGAAAATGATCCAGGATACAATTTTCCATCTTTTGTGGCTAAGAACAAATATCTATAAACTCCACAATCCCTGTTTTCTGATGAAAAAGGCATCTCATCATCTTGTGAGGAGGTAAAAAAACAGCAGGCTTATTGCCACTGTAATCTTTCATGTCAGTGGGAGAACATGTGAGGTTGTTTATGTATACATCAACTTCTTTCCCTAAGTGCCATAAAGGGAGGACTTTAAAAAGTGTTTTTTTATTTATTTATTTTTTTAAATTATATGTGATTAAATGATATTAAGCAAGGCATGATCAGTTTGTAAATCACATTGTTATATTTCCTTCTAATGCAGTACTGTAGGGGTTTCCTAAATTCAGAAATCACATTAGTTACAAATCAAAATATTACTTGCTCCTAATTTTCTGCATAATGTGTGTACTAAAAAAACAAAACAAAAAACCTCAACAAGAATAGATTGACCTATGGTTTTGCAAGAAACTACTTTCCAATGCTGTGAAAGTGACAATAACTCTTCCCAAGCAACTCTTTGGTTTTAAAAAGGTAAAAACAGCAGACCTAAACAGTTGATGATGCATTTTTCCTAGGCTGAAACGTCACCCACATACTGCGATCCATGGTCAGCAGCAGTCGGAAGACTACATCAGTTCACAGTTATGCGTGAGGGTTTTCAAACTACAGTTCCCAACTGCAGTCTTACATATACCATGTATCATTATCATCTGTTAATCATCTGCAAATCAACAGAGCCCATAAACATATGACATAGAAAAAAAAAATCAAAAACAAAATCATGTAACCTTCAGTGCCGGGGAACTACGGTTGCGGTCAACAGAAAACACACACAGCATCGGACGGTCACTGGTTCGTGCTCTCTTCAAGGACAATATGAGGACACACAGTTTCTTGTGCACACAAACACAAACACACACACACTTCTTTGCTTACATTCTCTTGTATGTGACAAGATTTCTGGTTTAAGACCTGGCAGCAGAGGGGAACTCACAATTAAAACCAGTGGGTCATGGTTGGGTAAACACACACACACACACACACACACACAAACCACCACAACTACTTTCTAGTTACTAGAGCCGGTTTCCATGACAACAGACAGGGAGGGAGAGAGAAAGAGAGTCATAGAAAGAAAGAAAGCGCAAGAGAGAGAAAAAGAGAGAGAGAGGGAGAGAGAGAGAGTATTCCACCCCCTTCAACTCAGAATATTGAGTCAGATCTGAGAATGATGTATTATCAAATGGAGGCCAGGAAGAAATAAAGGAGAGGGTGGGAGGATGGGAGTGGTAATGCGAGGCGTAGTACAAGAGGAGAAAACAAAAGGAGTGGGGTGAATGAATGGAAAAAACAGCAGAGAAATAATATAGTAGACAACGATCCAAACAAAGTGAAGACCAAAAGATGGGAAATAAATATTTCAAAAACATCTAAACATGGAGACATACAATAACATTACCCACTGAGACTGGGGTCATTCACGCACCACATTCACAGTAAGCTTTTTAACAAAGACAAACAAAAAAATGCCCTTTAATGCCCTCATAGAGCTGTGGTGTGAACATGAAACAGAGATTTGAGCTTCTTCAAGAAGTAATTTTTTAAAAATTTGTTTGGCCTTCCAAACAGCGAAACTTTTAAGTCAAATAAGTAGAACAAATTAATGACACTGAAACATTTACAGCATGCAGAAAACATGCTTTAGGACCTTGAAAAGAAAACACCAATAGAAAGAAGAAAGTTTTAGGTTCTTACCAGTGAGGCAGACTTAATGGTGGCAAAGCGGCCCTGGTTTTTGTAGTTTTGAGCCTGGCTGCTCTTATCAAAGGAAGCTGGCGTCGGCTCTGGCCGATGGTCCCTGTGGATCCCGTCGTCCCAGTTGTATTGATGGTCCTGTTTGAAAACAAAGGAGAGAAATTTAGGACTGGTAAATACTAAAAGAAAACAGAATAAATAACAACCAAGTGATCAAAGTTAAAAAAAAAATGATAGTGTAAACTATGTTGCACTGCAGGGCACTCAACTTTTTTTTTTTTAACTTATTAAAACTGTGCCAGTATTGAAATTCGTCACCATAATTCTGTGACTTACAAAAGAAATACTCCCCACTGATTTAACCCATACAACTTCTACACTTCACAAAGATTCTTCATCATTTGATAAAACTGTGTCAACTGTAAGCTTGCATGTCATGATGAAACATCAACACCCAGCACCCCCAATAAAATCTGACTGACAAACATGCAGGGAGGCCCAGGGACCAACGAGTGCTTTTATGCGTGGAGGGAAATTCACCGCCATCAGAAAACAATGTGTGTCATTTTTAATTGTTCTCATCACAGCCCCTGAACTTGAAACAGCACACTGGTTGTCTGTTCATAAAGTGACAACCTTATTCAAGCTCTGTCAAAATACAAAGAGCAAATGAAGAAAGAGAATGACAGAAGTGACAGCCCTCTCTTCACAGAGTTGATTTCCAATGCGAATGTAAAGCACAGTATTGACCTGTGTGTGTGTGTGTGTGTGTGTGTGTGTGTGTGTGTGTGTGTGTACACACAGGATGCCACATGTGCAAGGGGAATTTGCTCTGCTGCTAGTTCACATGTATACACGGCCTTTGTTCTCAAAGTGTGAACGGTGTCAGTGATGAACTTGAAGCAATCTGCAAACAGTGAGGACTGTCAATGGTTTCCATGGTTTTGGGGGGAGGGGTTTATGCATACTCTTGAACGGTGCGAGACACCAAAGGATGTTTGCACAGAGCCATGTTTCCTTTTCATTTGTTAAGTGAGACAGTTATCAACCCAGAAAAGAAGTGAGTCAACCAGTAACAGTCTTTGTTTCTTCTTCCATGCACTGAACTCTGGGAAAAGTGTTTAAGACTGTTTACTAATACCATTTCAAAAGACAGGAAAAATGTTAGGTACAAAGTTGTCCTTGTGCTTAATTCCACTTGGCTTGACTTTTTTGTCTCTCTTTCAGTGGGGCATCTCAGAAAACAGACTACAAATCTGATTTGACCTTTGTTGTGACTTGGATTTCTCAGACTTTATAATCTTCTTTATTTTGTAGCAGTAAAACGATAACTCTGAAGTACTGTACAGGTATCAATGACTTACGCAAGAGATATTGTAGAAGGAAGAGACATGTCTCTAAAACTAAATGTTGCAGTTTTGTTACCCTTGCCCCCAAAATCCATGAAATAAAAAACATACTCATCAAGTTAAAGCGGTGTGGTGGCAGGAATAGCTCTCTAATCAATACCCAAAGCAAAGGTGTGGCTATGTGTAATTTATAAACTTGGCTTGCTGAGTTCATATTTGTTTGTTCCTCCCATTGGAAGAGTGCACTAGGATGATGTTTATGTCAGCACTCTGGATTGAGCAATTAATGGAGCTGTAATGTTGTGACATATGTGCATACACAGCTGAAGTAACTTGTAGATTAAAGAAAACTTTAGCTAAAATAAGCTAAAATGATGGCAAGTTTCCAAAAGTTTTAACTTTTTTTTTTTTTTAATTAAATTGATGGTGATGCTATAGATTTTCTTTTTTATGTCTCGGTGACCACTGAAATGAAAGCCATGGCTCTCTTTCCATTCATTTAAATAGGGGCCTCAAGATAACCCCTAATCAATTCCAAGATGGCTGTCAAGTTGTAACACTCTCCATCTAGATTTAAAGTGATGAACACTTTGTAGTCGACAACTGGTTGTATGGCACATTTCAGGGTCTGTTTGTACACGGCACCAACTTGCACTACATATTTCCATCCATCCATCCATCCATCCGCTTCCGCTTATCCTTTTCAGGGTCGCGGGGGGCGCTGGAGCCTATCCCAGCTGTCATAGGGCGAGAGGCAGGGTACACCCTGGACAGGTCGCCAGTCTGTCGCAGGGCTAACACACAAGGACAGACAACCATTCACACTCACATTCACTCGCACATTCACACCTAGTGGCAATTTGGATTATCCAATTAACCTATCCCCACAAGCTGCATGTCTTTGGATGGTGGGAGGAAGCCGGAGTACCCGGAGAGAACCCACGCAAAACACGGGGAGAACATGCAAACTCCACACAGAAAGATCCCGGCCTGATGGTGGAATTGAACTCAGGACCTTCTTGCTGTGCGGCAACAGTGCTAACCACCGTGCCACCTACATATTTCCCACTTGGTTATATATGAATCGAGTATCCTTCACACCCTCTGGTTGTCACTGCAGTAGCTGATCTTAGATGAACTCAGTATTTCAGTGGTTGTTTGGACGGTTGTTGCTAGTAGTTGTTGAAATTATTCTTTAATTATTTCATAGTCTCCGGCTGTCACAAAACTGTCTCCAGTTTTATATATTTTTTAATTAATTAATATTTTAAATTGTATTTAGTTTAAAAAAAATGAGATTAACACTGTTTGAGTATGATGGCTGATGCTCAGTTAAAAGGCTTTGGGAACAATAAGAACTCCCAATAGTGGTTTCAAACTTTCAGCCTTAATCACCATCCCGTCTTCACCCTTAATTTTTACCTTCTTGGTGTGTGGGGAAGAGTCCAGGGTGCTGCTGTAGTCTTGGGGATGCATCATGGTCATATCAGAGCAGCTGTCATCCAACACCTCCTGCATGCTGTTCACGCTGCTGCTCTGGCTACCCGTGCTAACCGAGGTGCTGGGAATAGAGTGGTTGCTGCCCAGGCTGTTCATCTTACAGCTGGCTGCCTCGCTGTCCTGCAAGTGCGCACAACATATACACGTGTTCAGAAACACAAATGTACACAAACACTCAAGGAACATGCTACTGAAATATGCAAAAGTCACCCGTGACCTTCGCCCAATTATACCCAGGCTTTCTTCAAACTGTACCATTAAATAGAGTTGCCTCAAAACAAACGGCGGGGGGGATCACTGATGCCCTATAGATTGCATTAGAGTCAAAGTCATGCTAAATTGCCTATTAACCTCTAATTGTTAAGATGTGTGTGTCTGAGTCATTCAGTAGCATCTGAGCTTATGTTAATGGGCAGTGGTCAGACAGAGGTCTTCAGATTACAAGTCAACTTGAAGGTGTACAAGACAGATACGGGATGAAACTGTGTAGCTTTTAGAAGCAAAAGCCAATTCACTTAGGTCTAAGGCAACAGGACAGGATATTTACTCAGTCTTTCCACATAAAACAAGGATTGGTACAGCAGGTTTTTCAGGGTAAGGCTTTCAGCAGTGTCTTGTTGCACCAAGGTCTGGTGGCTGCTGTGAATTGTGTCACATGGTGTAGGATGACATTACTGTCGCTACGAGCTGTCCATAACTGTTCACTTTACTTCAGGCCAGGTCAGCTAAAGGACATTTCATCTCAGGCTACCAAGACTGCATGAGAAAGACTCCCATTTGTTGTGATTTCAAAGTGCTGAAGCAGTACTGACTAGTGTGGAGTCACCATCTCTGAGACTTAAGTGTCATCCTGAGGATGCAGATAAACTATGCTGTCCCTCAACCTTTTGTCTGAAATCATCTGTTGGCCTACAGATAGAGAACTGTGTGAAATAATGAGCTTAAACTCTGTCATTGGTGTCAAGTACAAGCACTTATTTTATGTAGTGGTGATGGAAATTTTAAATATAATAATTATTTCAATTACTTTGCGAAAATACTCTGCAGATTAACTGAATCCAAACCTCATTTTAGTGCAACTCTGCTACTTAAAGACTGTGGCTACATATATGCAATTTTTCATCTTCATATTAACTATTGTTAAGAATTGAAGAACTGTTTCTGGTGCCACTCCCTGTGATCATGCACTCTGCAGAGTTTTTTCTTTTAACATTAATTTGTCTGTTTAATATTTAAGTTTGATGCATAAACTGTTTCCCCATTAACCTCCCTTCTCCCTTTTTTTTTTTCTTCCTCCCACCTCCTCCTCCTCCTGGCTCTCTCCCAAGGGCCCGTTGTGTTTCTCCTGGTATAGGATCTTTTTCATCTTGCGGTACTGCAGATTGTCGAGCTCACGCACTGCATCCTTGGTCCTCTGGATGAGGTCAATGAGAATGCGTGGTGAGCGTTCCCGACGTACAAAATCATGCTGAAGAGAAAAAGACAGACAGTCAGTTACTTCGTTCAAGGTTTTAGTCAGACTTTATTACAATACAAGGAGGAAAATACTTGGTTTAGAAACTAAAGCTAATCTTTCTATTAGGGTTATCTTTTTTATTTGCATTTCAATTGCTGTCTTCATGTCATACAGTTTAATTTAAACTGAACATTATGGATGTTTTCTTCCCAGTTTTTCAATAGAAATTCAGAAAGTATTGCCTCAGACTACATACAATATTGGCAGTAAACATTTAAAAGGGAAATAAAATAAGCTGAACCGGAATGAAGATGAAAATTTTATATATTAACTACTTTCTTTTGCATTATCTTAAACATTGGCACCATTTACAGATCTTTTAAGTTGTTCGTAAATATTTGGAAGTCATTTAAACATGTCTAAAATTTTATTTCAATGAGCACAACAACTCTGGCAATCACTAGAGGGCGCCTGTAGGTTGTTCAACCCATTCTGGTCCCAGCACTCAATACGCTCTACTACAGTCTCTGAGAAGGTCCATATAATCGATTTTTATAAATACTCCTAATCCTTCTCATTTCAATAAATACTGTTTGAAATGCATTTGGCCTTGCACCAAGTTAATGAGAACTTTAATTAAATCAGGTCATATAACAAAAATCCCACTAAGCATTGATAATTGAGAGATTTTAGTTATTTAATCTGTATCCTTTGCTTTTGTGCTTTTTTTTTTTTTTTTTTTTTTTTTAAGAATGAGCTACACACATTAACCTCTGTGGAGGAAAAACAAACATACTTAAGAGTTTCTTCTATCAGGGCATAGCAAAGCAAATTGGACCTTGTTATTTACTAAAAGAAAGAAAAATCCTTCCAGAAGAAAAAAAAAAAAATATGTGAAAGGTCAGACTTCCTTTTAAAAATATGATCAGTGAATGATATAATGGTTTCACACTTCTATGGAGATCATTTAGGTGATTATCATTGCTGAGTCTGTCCTTTGCAAGTGAGATGAACCTCTGTAATCTAATGTAGGTGCAATTTGGTGGAGGTTGGGACATTGAATAATTACATAAATGCACAATGAATAACCAACGGGTCAGAGTGGGATTGGTGGGAGGTGGGAGAGAAGGTGGGGGTCGAGTGATAGTGGATGGCTATTTTTAATTTGTGTTTTTTTCATTTGTTTGTTTTTGTTTTATTTTTTACAAACAATTTAGGGGTGTCAAAAAAAAGAATAAAAAAGCAAAACAAATAAAAACAGAACAGATATTTCTGCCCAGCACTTCCTCCCACTACAACACACAAACATGTTCACACCTCCTCTTAGTCAGTGTCATTCATAAAATATTGGCTGCATAAAAGGCTAAAATGTATTCAACCTAAAGGTACGTGACTAAAATATTATATTCTGCATGAAAAAAAAATACATATATTTAGGTGTATTTTTAGCCATCACTCTCTGCACACCTTCCTCTCCATGTGACAGATGCCGGTGTAATGGGTTAGTCAGGACACAGAGGAATGACATCACACACTGAAAATAGAGATGAAAGTGATTTGTCCCATTTTCTGATTGACCTACAGCAGAATGTGGGTGGTTGGCCACCCCCATCCCATCATCCAGTGAAGTTATCTCAAGGATTCCTCCTCATTATGAGGTTAGTGTAAAGAAGAAGTGACAGCAAATCTACAGCACCTGGAGTCTTGTCTGGTATATGTATTGTGGCATCACTATTGCCTTCTACTAGAAGTACTCATCCATACTCAGTTTTAGCCTGTTCTTTTAGGATAAATTTGTTTTTGACACATACTATTACCAGTACTAACTTTTCAAGCTACCGTTACTACTTTAGACCAGTCCACATCTACTACACTGATAGCAATAATAGCCACTAAAGGAAAAGGCTAATATGTTGGATGTATTCAAATAATAGTTCAACATTTTTGGGGAGATTATAATTTTTTGGCTTTCTTGAAAATAATTAGATGAGCGCACTAGTAAAAATCTCATATTTGCAGGAAAGTATATGGATGAAGCAATTAGTCATTTAGTTAAATTTTAGCATAATAACAGGAAACAAAGGGAATTCTGAAAATATTAAACACTTCATGAACACATCATATTGTATGTTGTTTCACATACAAAAGATAAAACAGGTTGAGGTTAGTGGAATTTTGCAAGTTGGGCAAAGTGAGAATTAGTAGACTAAGTAGTCTAACCAGCTACTCGCAACACATCATCTTTGCAAACCTTATCATTTCCTGCTTAGTCTAAGCTACATATTGCATTGAAAACAATCACAAAACACTCATTCATAAATCGGTTATTGAAATCATGAATTCAAAAAAGCAAACATTTAGATGATTCCATCCACTGAACTGATTTTTCTTGTAAAATAGGGCAACTCAATTATGCTATTAGTTTTAGATGATTAGTCAAACACAAAATTAAATTTGAACACTTCCTTTCATGCTCTGGGAAGTTGCTGTTGTGCTGTAAATATCTGTAGTTAGTAAGTAAATTTATACAGCTGAGAAACTCAGAGTTAGTTTCAACTATTCAAGTGAATATGTTCGTTTAAACGAAATGTACTTACGGGGGGTTGAGGCCACTGAATGGTTACTCTTTTATTTTTCGTAATTACCATTATTCTGAATGAGGTTTTAAAGGACAGAGAGTGAATTTAACCTGAAGCCAGTACACTAGTAGCTCAAGGCCCACAGATTAGTGACCTGATTTTCCCTTTAAAGCGCTTGGAGGGGCATGTGCCTGTGTGTGTGTGTCTATGTGTGTGTGCTTGCACTAAAACGAAGAGTAAATTTGTGTGTGTCTCAGAAGAGAAAGTGGGGTATTAATCATAAACTAACACCCCAACCCCCAAGCCCTTCACTATAAAGCAGGCCCTTGGACACTGATCCAAAGTCTGTTTGGTACTTATCCCTCTTTAATGTTTTTTTCAGTAAGGATTTGGGTCAGGGGTGCTTGGAAGAGTGCATTCCAGTCAAAAGCCCCATCCTATCCAGACAACAGTCCAGATCCCTTTAGTTAACCACTTCCTAACCTCACACCTTCCTCCATAAAGTGAGACAGGTGTGAAAAGTCCTGCTTGGGCTTCAACACCACTGAGCGTGATCACCAAGAACTTAAAACTCTTAGTGCACCAATAGGATTACCTGTTGGTCACACAAACAAAAAGATCATCTCCTCAATCACAGGGAAACACAATGGACATGCATGGATTATCAGCGTGTATGCTCATTGTGGTTTTGGAGATACATATGGGCTGTCACTGGCAGGATGGCTTTAAAAAAAAAAAAAAACAACTTGCAGGTTTAAGCGTTAAGTTTTACGAGATTATTTTATCTGTGTTTGACAACAGTAACATTTTGCGTTTTAAGGGGTTAGATGAGTTATATTATATATGAGTTTTAAGGTAAAACAACCGTTGCGGTTCCACAACATCAGTACTCAAATGCAATTATTTATGTCCAACACAAATTTATTTTCTTTGTCCTTCTACTCATTTTATTACACCATATAAAATGGAGCTCAATTGTCTTCCTGTGTCTTATCCCTTGGCTGTGAGGCAACGGGGGGAATAAAATAAAAAAAAATCTCAGTAGGATGCTTGATTCCTGTGCTTGAAGAAGACAGTGTATATATGCTTGCGTATTAGGGAGCCGTGGGTGGATGGGAGTGACTCATCCTCATGACTGACTGAGACCGGAAGTGAGGTCACAGCTAGAAAGATTACTGAGGAAACCCACTCACTCGTAGCAGCTCCCCCGACGAGGGTCTGTCCTGAGGAATTTTCAGCAGGCAATAGTCAACAAAGCTGCGAAAGAGGTCAGACCTAGGTAAAGAGGACAATGAGAAAGAAGTCAGTCATAGTCCTTCTTGGACTAATATTTTTAAAATTAGAAAAATTTTAAGTAGAAATGACAGTGACAAGCTAAAAAGCCATGCCATCTGTCCTTTTTGGCAATTAATGACTAATGTACGAGGAGGAGCAATCCACAGCTCTTTGGTGTTTAATATATCAGTGACTTAAGTAGAACAATCTTGCATAATCTCTTAGTGTAGCCCCGAATGGGAATTATATATGGATTATGTAAATATGTGGAGCAATAAAAATATAGGCCAGTGGAGCTGTGGTCTAAATATCTAATCATGGTAATCTAGCACAGTAGATATACCACCATATGTTTTGTTTGCTGTTATGAGTTGTTAAGATAAAATAGACTGGAATGCTCTTTACGTTTATTAAAATACACACTGAGGGTATACGACTGAGATCTCCCTCAACCTCTACTTCTCTCTCAGTTGCTAGCATAGATCCATGCTTAGTCTTGTAGGTCATGCGAATGTGTTCACAGTCTGGCCTTGTGTTTGTGTATGAAGCCAATGTCTCTACTTGTCTCATCTGGATGTTGCTAATGCCTCGGGCCCCTGGAGCTCCTCCAAAAATACCACAACCCTGTGCTGTCCCACACAATCGCTCACCTAAAGCACGATACTAGAAATCAACACTAATTTTACAACAGATGTCATAGGCAGCAAGTTTTAACTTTAAAGAACTGCCTTGCCTCACGTTTCTCATGACCTGCTCACAATACTCGTGCCTACTTAAAGGTTTTAAAAGAAAGGTTGTTATTTAATGAACGCTTGTGTGGAACTGATGCACATGTTCTACAGTATGAGGCAGGTAAACGGTTGCATTCAGCTACTCCTGAGGAGCTGTGTGACAGAGACAAATTTTTACAACATATTACAAGGAACTCCTGCACGACACTGCATACCTAGGACATCGCATGCATACCATGGCAGTCACAGCATGGCAGAAGTACACAGGAGTAAATTACAGGGAGAACATCAAGCACAGGGTTAATATTTGATGAGTGCCGTTTCCCTAAGGACAATCATACCACACATGCTGTGGTTACAGCAACTCAGAGGAGCAGTAGCATATTTGTTCCTTTGCTAAATTCCTGCAAGTGTCTTGCATTTTTTGCTAATTGAGATCACCTAGTTCTCGGTCCATACATGCTGCTGAATATGTATCCGCTTTTCTTCTGTTCCCAAATTATTCCTTTACTACCAAGATTGTGCTAGCTAATACTGAGCCCATTGTTCATACAATAAATATAAAGATATAAAAATATTATATAGCTTATATAGCATTTATTCATTAACTGAGAATAAAAAACATAAAAAGCTAAGCTATGGTGGCTTATGTAGAGTGCTTGGATTATTCTACTAACTAAGCCAACTGTATATTGAATAAATGATTTCACTTCTTATAGTCCTCCAGATAAAAAAAAATGTATACCTTTTATGATGAGATTTGTTGTTAAACAGTAATTAATTTAAGCTTTTTTCTTGACTTTACAAAAAAGCATATCAGTTTTAAATGCTGTTTCTCAGTTTTTTAGATGACATAAACATTTCATGACAATATATAGCAGCTCCGCTGGTCTTGTCTGACAATGGTGATGCAAAGAGACAGCAAAGAGCTGTTTAAAACCTGCTGGCCTAAATTAAATTGCTAAATGTTTTTTGATGTCTGGAAGGACATTCCCTAGAGAATCTATTAGCTTCCGCAGTCATGAGCTGTGAGGCTGAAAGCTGCATAAAATAATGCATAAAGCAAGCTGTTTTCCCATATTTAGAACACCTCATACGTGCATGGAGGAATATATTTGTATGTTAGTATGGCAAGCTTAAAGTGTGAGTTAAATTACTTGGAATAGCAGGAGAATAATCGTGCTGTTTTGTTTAGATGCTGCCTCAAAGCTCAGTAGAAATGGTGTGGGTAGCTGCAGTGTGTTTCTTTGGTAGCTGTTTCCCAGGTAATTACATAAGAGACTTAGAGTGTGCCCTTGCACATGGCCTGTGGCAGGGATCACAGGTCATGCAGATTAACACAGGGATGTCTTACTCTGGCTGAACCCTGACTAGAATGGACTTTAATGTTCACGGTTGACTGGATGCATTATATCAGTGGTTATACTGGATTTTTTTGGGTGTATGGTAATTTTGTAACATCAAGGTGCTAAAACTTACCACTCATTGGACTGCAGTGTGGGAGAGTCGTTCTGGGCAATGTGATATAAGGCACTCATGGCATTCATGTTGAACAAGGGTGGTTTACGTTCCGCTAAAATGAGAAAGGATGTGAGAATAACATATACAGTGTGCACATTTTCGCATCAGCTTCTCCTTGAATGAGGGAGAAGCTGAAGTCTAAAAAATAAGTAGTACAAACAAATAACTTTTAATCAGCTTAAGTCTGCTGAATTTCAGTCTGAGCCAATAAATGTATTATTTGACCACTGGGTAGGTGTTTGCTCACCCAGTTCAATACAAGTGATCCCCAGTGACCAGATGTCCACTTTTCCTTCATACTGGCCCTCGTCCATGGCTAGGATCACTTCTGGGGCCATCCTGAATACAAAGGCAGACACACGCGTATGCACACACTTTATCAAGTATGGAAAAAATCCATGAAAATGTTATAATCTTCTAAGCTTCTCAGAGTTTTTAAAGACTCTGGTATGCTGTGATAGCAGCTTAGTTTTTGGAATATATGTTTCTATACTTGTGTGACAATTTTTCGTATGCATGACTACTAGTCCACCAGTATATGGGATGCCTTTGTTTACCATTAAAGCTGCTGTGAATATGTGAGTGAATATTTTATTTTAGTGCATAAACAATTGAAAGCCAATTGCGGAAAACTATTAATATGAATTAAAAAAAAATCTTGTCAGTTCTTTCTCAAACTGAATTAATAATGACTAACATGTTGCATGTCTAGGTGCATGACTCTAGAACAACAAACATCTACCAACAACAATGTTTAAATAAAATTGGCAGAAAAAAAGAAAAAAAAGACATAAAATAGCTCATTTGTACTGAACATGTGCAAGATAAAGAAGAAACTTAATCTTCTCTTCTCTGCAGATGAGGTTCCATGTTTGTCTTGTGTGTACTGACCAGTAAGGTGTGCCCACAAAGGAGTTGGCAGGTGAGGCAATGGAGGCGGAGCCAAAGTCAGCCAGTTTGACTTGACCCAGCTCAGTCAGCAGGATATTACCAGCTTTCACATCTCTGGATAAGGGAAAAGAGCATGAAGACAGCAAAGACAGAAAAGAGAAAAAGTCACATTAGCTCCACTTATATATTATGCATATGTGCCAGGTGACTGATATGTGCCAAGTTAGTCCTACCTCCAATGAGCCAGTCCAGTTTTTATTCACTTTTGACCAACACAACACAGTTGGGTATTTAAAGATGTCATGTTTGATTTGACATTTTAAATCTATGCCCTTTGAAACTTAAAATGATACAGAACAGTAAAACAGATTTATTTGATGTGGTTGTTGGATGCCAATCATATCTTCCCACCTTAAAAGATACAACTGTGTACAGCAATAAGGTGGGAAGGTGATGTCCAAGAGTAAGTATAGACATGATGTTTTACAACTTAATTCGTAAACACTGCAATAAATGAAGAACGTAACTGTCTTATGTTATCATGTTCCATGTTTTCACTCTATGTTGCCTGTAAGCAAGGAAAGAAATAGACTCACCTGTGAATCATATTATGGGAATGTAGGTAAGCCAGTCCTAGCAAGGCACCATGGGTAATGGCAGCAATTTCCATTTCTTGGAGTGGTTTTTTATGAACTATGGAAGAAATAAGTACAATGAATGGATTGAGCAGAAATAACATGAATGATTCAAATAGTTATTTCTATCCAAGATTGTGGAAGTGCAGACTTCATGTGCTCAGCTCTGGAAAGCACAGTATCATGGCTTTAATAATTAAGACCAACTGTACTGATCTGTCCACACACTGCAGTAATAAAGTAATCCCAGTAAACAGTTGAGTTTCCTAAGCTGGCACCCCGAGTCCTGCTGTTCTAAAAATTGTGCCAAGGCAAAAGGTCACTGCAGAACTACGACTGAGAATTTTTATATAAAGGCTAAACTCCCCAGAACAGTCTGGGAACGACTGTCACAACTGTGTACTCTGTCAGTAGTGAGTATTTGGGTGTTTAAAATAAGTCAGTAGCTTCAAGAGTGGTTAGAGGATGGGGAGTTCAGGGAATTCAAGCTCTTAAAAGTGATATAGATATTTTTTGCCAGGCGCTGAAATCTAAGAAACAAATATGTTTTCCATCTGCGATAAACAGTGGTTTAAAATGTAGTACTATTACAGCAGATTACACATTTACATTACATTATCTTGCTCCAGTATCCAAGGACGCAAATGGGGAGAGTGCCCCTAAGCATACAATCACAGAAAATATTTAGTTAGGCCCACAAAATGAACCAAATAATCACAGAAAATTGGAGAACATGAGGTTTTACAAGTTTTTAAAGATAACTGCAGTTATCTGATAGCAGCCAGTTCCTTATTTTTTGGTAGTCCAAAAAAAAATCCTCAATAAGGTCAAGCAGTCATAGCCTACTTCTGCTCCTAAAACAGCTTAAATTAGCTAAAGGGCATACTTTACAGTGCACAACCAAGCTAAAAGACCAAAGTTACTTTTCATTAGTTTTGTTTTGACAAGTTTCGGGTTTACAAAAGTTTCAGGAGTGACTTCCTGGAAAAAAAATGTTAACACTTCCACCCTGTTACTGACAAAAAAGCCATTATAAAATTATGAAATATCTCAATGTATTGGCATATCAAACACTGATAAACATACCCTCCAGTAAATCTGATGCAGAGCCCAGACAGTACTCCATCACCAGCTGAAAGAGAAAATAGTTAAACCTCAAATAAAATGGAAACTAATCACTCACATGGAATGAGCACCGTCATAAATTTTAATTAAAGCTTTAAGTCAAGTTTGTGAAAAGTCCTAGTCTAAAGAATGTAGAGGAAGTGGGCGTACAACAGTTAGCCACAACATTAAAATCAAACAGAAAAGTGAAGTGACTAACACTTATTATCTTGATGGCAGAGGTCTTGCGTAACAGGACAGTGTGTAGAAATAGCTCAAGCCCTAGCCTCTAAACTCTGCAGACTCAAAACTGGTCAAACATCAGTGGGATCTACCAGAGCAGGCACAACCCGCAGAAGCACCACCCAGCAATCAGCAGCCAATGTTCTTATGACAGACACCAGAAGCCCCAATGGGACAGAGTTGATTTGGCAGTGCACTGTAGGCGGTTTTGATGTTGTGGCTGATCAGTGTACACAAAGAAACATAAGTACACAGTAGGAAAACATACCGAGCAGGACATGAAAACAAAAGAATGTAAGTAAAGAATGAGAGAGAGCAGAAGAGAGAAAGATAAATCAAGTATCCTGCCAGACTAAAAAAAAAATGAGGAACTTGAACAAAAAAAAGAGGATGTAGAAAAGGATCTACAAACCCAGGCAGTGTTGTCTTTCAAGTAGCAGCCTTTGTACTCAATTGTGTTTGGGTGTCGCAGCTGTCCCAAAAACTTGACTTCCTTAATGATGTCCTGCCACTTCTGCAAAAGGAAAGAATGATTCCAGCCTTTAGGTACTATTAAACTAACACTTAACTAAGACTTTAAATACAATGCATTAACCAGTGACAGATATTTTACATCTGTATCTCTCTTGCTATTGTCTATTGACAGAAAGGTTTTCTTTAAAGGCACTGCACCAATATAAATAATAAACAAACTGAAAGCTGGCTCCACTTCAACTAGTATGGAAAAGTTGGACAATAGCTTGCAAGTGCCCTCACACAAAATCATCACTCACTGTTTTATAAAAAGATACAAGTTGACTAAACCACTGAGATGTGGGCTTGAGTTCAGCCGAAGTACAAGCTGTGATCCCATAGGATGCCTTCTGAAATATGCTTCTGCCTAAACATTTCCAGCAGTTTTCTTGAGGTAGACACGTGTTTGTTCCAAGCTTTGCATCTGGTGTGGGCAATTATCTTCCATTATTTTCACATTATTTCTGTTCCTTCAGAGTAACTAACCACCACATGAGACATCTCACAACTTCACAAGCATAGCATCAAGCTGTGTGAAGTAGCAGAAAATGATGTAATGCTGCTTTTTGCATTCTGAGCTATACCTCCCACATCATAGAAAAAAAAAAAAAAGGTTATCTGACCAAACCTAACCAAATGCTCACTTGAGGTTTTTCTTTTTTTGGTCCCTCTGATATGGTTCCACAGACAAAACCATCTAAAACTGGAGCATTCACATTGTATGTGCCATATCTACATTTTCCAGCATGTATATTTTCTTACTTCAGTAGTCTGCTTGCCATTATAGGACATCTTTTTGATGGCCACCACCTCGTTGGAGTAGGAGTTCCGAGCCTGAGAGAGAAAATAGAAAAGATCACACTCTATTAAGGTCTTTAAACACAAGGTCTAAATGCTTAGGAAAAGACAGCTCACACGAAGACAAATACAGTAAACCTCCCACAGGATATAACAAGGCCTCATGTTTGTTTTTGTCATTTTTTTGTTTGTTTTCGGTACCTTTAGGGTACCTTTTTGGTCCCCTAGCCACAAAGTTATATTGGCATTCTACAACATAAACATACATACATACAGACTCAAAAGTGATCTTAATGCCCACAGGGTAACCTTTGGTCTTCTATTAAAATGTGAAAGTTAACATCAAAAGGTCACTACATAAATATTATATTTATAGAAAAAATAAAACATAACATGTACTGTACCTAAAAAGCACGAGCTATAGCAGCCTGTTATTGGACAGTGGTACTTATTAGTTCAGGGACCAATCTAATGTAAAACATCCAAGTGCAAGTAAAACTAAATACTTACATTAATCTAAAATAAATATCCACCTGAACAACGTAAATCAGGTGAGGTTTATCTATAGCCACTTTAACTGTTTGAGTTATCTGTCCACATTTACATTTGCATGCTAAACCCATGGTGTTAACCTCTGAGGCACTTTGCCTCAGGGACAGCTAGGCTGTGGCTCAGCCTAAGCCCTTATCTGAGCTTCATCCCATATACAATTGAATGGGAAATTCATGTTGAGATTCAAATGGAATTACAGTAACAGGAGGCAAGAGAGTTTGACTTTTTTTCAGATTCATTTAATCCCAATGATTGCCTGTCAGTTTATGCATAAGAGCATGCATTCCTCTTATTATAGGATACAGCTAGATGGCATTACATATGAGGAAACAAAAATCAATCAAAACTAAGAAATTTAAATAGGCTAATTGTATTGCTAATTGCATTAGAAGGGAATGTGTTACTAATTACAAACTCTTTAATTCAGCAACCATTATCAGGGTGTGTGTGAACCCCTTGTTGGTGTTGGGTCTGTGTTCTCAGGAGGTAATTTCCCCTTGTTTCCTTCTGTAATGGGAGTTACTCGTTTGTCTTTACACAAGTACAAAAGCAGTCACAGTTATAGTTAGGGAATTTATGTATTTGACAATGCACATTTACTGTGGTAACTACTGTATTTTTTTTCTCCTATAGTCATTACTTTTACAGATTCAGACTAACTTCAAAATAGAAAACAAACAAACAAAAGGTGTCCTTTGAGTATCCACTTTCTAAAAATCAGGTGAGAGAAGCTCCGATTAGCCACTAGTAATAGATAACAGCAACTGATTCACTGATGTACTGATTCATCTCTCAGGCAAAAATTCATACTAACCCGTCTTCAGGTTGGAGTGTACCAGAATGGGTTAAAAAAACAAAACAATAAAAAAAAACAACCTTACCTGCTTTGAATAGAAAATATTGTGATGTTTAAATAAATACTGTTCTTAAAAGATATAATAAATTAGCATATATGAAACATAAGGGAGTAAGTAGTAGTAGTTTTTGTAAAGCTGTAAACATGAGTTGCCATTGACAATGATTTTATATATCATTTTAGATGATAGTATCGTATGTATCGATTTTGTATAACACAATAAAAACTTTTCTTTTTTTTTTAATTATAATGTATCCTTAGTTCAATCACTGAAAAAATAAAGCTATTAACAACATTTACAAAAACTGCCCTTGCTGACAGCAAGCACTGTTGTAATAGGGGTAGTACAAGTGTGTCAGTGAGCACAGGATTGACATCAGGGCAGGATTTAGCCACACACTGGAGATTGTCAGCCAGACGGACATGGGTACTAGGACTACTACTGATGTACTGGTCGTGTGTACGTGTACATGACATGGGATAGTAAAGCCCTGGCAGTCAAGAAAATCCTCCCCCTTCATTGACTACTACTTTGTATTTATATATCAACAGAACAGCTGTCTTGCAAGGCAGGGAGGAGGCTTATCGCCCCTAGTCCTGCATCTGGAGGAAAAGGGAGAAAGGAGGAGAAAAAGGAGAATACAGGATGCTTTTCATTCCCTCCTCCATGCAGCTTTAATATCAAAGCTTGATGAGTAATTAGTGATGATGAGATTAATAAGAAACAGAAAAAGTGCTGAGAGAGGATCTGTCTCCACTTAACTGCTTTCAAAGAGCCATAATGTGGTGCACTACATTTACAGCATACATATTCCTTTATTCAGCAGGAAGTGTAAGTATGTGCGTATGTAACTAGCTAATAACAATGATAAACTGCAATATATAATGTTAGAAGTGTTTGTGCAACTTCTTAAATGATCCAACCACTTTTGCTGTTCTTTCAGATCTGTATCACTAAAGCTGCAAAACTCAAATTAAGTGCTTTAAATCTATCTCAAAAAGAATAATTTCTAATTTACTTCAAGGCCTTTGAAAGCCAGAGTTACCATAATTGTGAACTGATACTTACAAAGTAGACGGCCCCAAAGCTGCCATGGCCGATCTCATGCAGGTCACAGAAAACGTCCTCTGGGTCATCTTTGAAGAAGAGGTCAGCCAACTCGGGGTCCTTCGGTACTCCTTTCCGTGTGGACGACGGCATTATGTGCTGGACATGGGCTAGGCGCCAGGGACCGCACTCACATACACGCTACTTCTGCTACTACCACCACCAAATATCCACGACGGGTCCGGCATTGGCCAGCTAGACCTGGGAAAAAGAAAGGTCAAGAGAATAGACTATTAGGCTGATATTTACTGCCGTGCACTGGATAACAACACATTTGTTTCCTAGCATATATGCTAAAATTAGATGCATTTATACCCAAGGATGGTTGTTGATACTTGTGAACATCCAGACACTGTTTGATTTAATGTCACTTCACAGAATATCCTTATTTCATGTGCAATATGCAGGGCTTCTTTGAGTATTTTCATTAGTGCTTCTCATTGACAGCTGATAGGTGATAAGACAGGAAAAAAATTAATAAAAAAATGTTTGCTAATAATGACGACGATAGCCGTCTAGTCCTGCTGCTCATCACACACAGTCACACTTGCATACACAGTCACACGCACATGTTTGACAGCAGAAGTTGAGTCACTGATGCATCATTTCCACACATGGACATAGTGCCCGCGCACACACACAAACACACTAATGCTGACTGTTTTGTATCACAAGGCTGCAGCCAGGCCATCAAGCGTGTATGCATCCTGGACACCCTGCTCCAGTTAGCTTCGTTGAACATGCAACACACATTCACACCCATGCACGCAGGCGCACAGCATCTCTCTGATACCAGTGTCTCTCATTCTCTCCCTCTCTCTTTCTTTCTACCATGAAATATGTGTGCACATCAGCCAGATGCAGCAAGTAAATCTGGCTCCAAAGGCCAGCCCCACACAGAGAAAGCTGACATACAGGCAGAGGCAGCAAGACACACAGGCACCCAGGCCAAGACACGAAGCATCAGCATCATCCTAATCCTCTGCTCTTAAAGGGATCTAAGCCATTGCACCCACTCCAAAAATATCAGTCTTAAAGGCAAAGTCCTGAGCCCTCTGTGCCATAGCACCAGACACATAATGATTCCAGCCTTGGGGTTTTGAATATGGACAGAAATATGTGTCACTAGGCTTCGTGTATGTTTTGGTTATTGGAATTTCGTTTGAGAAACATGGATTTTTTTTCCAACACATGGCCACAAAAAGCTAAATAACAGCTTTTATTGTACTTTAAACTGTCCACTTGATGTAACCAGGAAGCTACTGTTAGCTTCTTGTGCTACTCTTGATAAGTTTTTCCACAGATATACTGGGCTGATGACACTACCCAATTCAATGTAAAGGATATGAGCTTGGACATAAGTAAGTTTTAAAGACTTTTGAAATATCAAAGTAAGTAAAGTGAGTGGTTTGCAGCAAAAAGACTTGTTGCTGTGCTTCATATTCCAAAATATAAATATAAATCAAAATATACAGTGACACTGCCCACAGTCTATTTCAGTGAATGTTAGAAATAATGATGAAGAAAACCACAATGACACACATGCTGCTTCTTATGAACTTCTGCATACAGAAAGGTCTCCTGGAGCACTGTGACAGCCTGCTGCCATTTAAAAAGCTGCCGTAACATCTCAGCTTTGCGTAAATCAGTTGTGCTGTAGCCTGACTAAAATCAATTTCATGGCATTTAGCCCTGGCTTCTCTTGAAGAATGCTCCACAACATTCTTGTAAGTAGCCACAGATTTACACATAAACAACGGCCATGGTTCCAGTTTATCAGCCTGTATAAGGTGAGAGATCATACATGCAGGTTTACAAATTAGTTTAAGGCATCTATTGGTCATAGAGGGTTTTTTTCTCAGAAACATAAAACCCTAATATGGCTTCTTCATGACTACAATAAAAATCTTACAGTTGATGAAGTGTGTACAATATAGCAGTGTAGCTGTTTGTACACAAACTTCTACTGCGCACAGTTACTGGTGCAGCTCGAAGCTCTTTGTGATCTCATCAAATATCCAATCAATGAGCTTTTTCAATAATGTGGGTTGTAAATTAAACATTAGTACTATTTTATTAATGTGTATTTTATATTTATTCCAACATAAAAGTGCAATAAAAGAATATAAATCAGTTTAAGAAACGTGCATACATCGCCTTATATCTGGATGCATGTGTGTGCAATGTTTATTCTTACATAAACACACATATACAGCAGTAAGTATTTAATTTGCTTTTTCCTAAGTGCACCTACAATATGAACCTGTGTGTGTCCATGTCTGTGTTAGTGACTCTGAAACATTTGTCTGTGTGTCTCCTGGTTGCATCAGCCCCGTCTTTCTCTCATCTCTCCTGCTTAAGCTCTCTAACATAACTACTTAAAAAAAAAAAAAAAAAAAAAAGCCTGACACAACCTCCATCTCACCTTTCTCCCCACACCCACAGCATATAGTGCACGTAAGTACAGATATACATGTACATACCCTCACTATGATGCATTCATTAGTTTGTACAGGGTAACAAAAATGAGAGGGGGGAGAAAAAAAAAAGTCCAACAGAGTAAGTGGGCTTTACCCAAACTCTGAAAGCTGATCTAAGCCACAAAGATAGAACAATCTCCTGACTGCTTCCAAGAGACAAAAATGAAGCAAATGAACACCTAATTCATGTGATCACTCCAGAGACTGAACACCTTCTCTCGTTCTTTTCCATTCTTCCTCCTCCAGTCTCCCGAAATGTGTGAAGTGATGCAATGTGGCAACAACAGGTTGTAACTCAGGGGGCTTCGTAAACCTGTTACTAGCCCAGCAAAGCCCAGTGTTTGGACAGTTTGCTCTGTGTGTGTGTGTGTGTGTGTGTGTGTGTGTGTGTGTGTGTGTGTGTGTGTGTGTGTGTGTGTGTGTGTGTGTGTTAAGGATCTATGAATGGCATTGTTCTGAGAGAGCTGCTTAGGCAAATGGCTTAGACAGATTAAATGCTTGTGTGTGTAAATTTTTTACAACATACTCAGAGCCACATTTTCAAATAATGACACTATACATATGCGTAGGTGTGAATCTTTTTGCATGTGCAGAAATAATGTACACCTAGTGTGTAAATGGGATGTGTGTGAGGTGCAGGTGGGTAATTAGGCTACCGGATTTGCTATATACAATAAACTATACATCATAAATACAAATTATGTGCAAAAGAGATTATGTGATTTATGCTAATCTGACTAGTACTTACACAAACACAGCTTCACTGGAGAATTTAATATGTTTTGAAGAGCAATTAGAAGGATTTTCCACTAAAATTCTTGATAGTGAGTTCATACATGAATTGGCAGTGTTTGGTCCCAAAAAATTCAAAACATACCGTTTCCAGGTAGGGGTTAACATTGACAAGCTTTTATCAGGTATTACCAGTAAAAAATCCTGTCATGATATTTACAAATGTAATGTATTATCTTTCTAGTGCACATATTTGTTAAAAAAAAAAAAAAAAGTTTAAAGCAACAACAGTGCTTGTATCTTGATACACTACACCAACAACACATTTATTCTAATGTCAGTAAACACAATCAAAAAATATTTATGGGACATATATAACATAACATTAGGCATATACAAGAAACATACAGTGTGTGAATGTGTGTGTGAATGGGTGGATGACTGGATATGTAAAGCGCTTTGGGGTCCTTAGGGACTAGTAAAGCGCTATATAAATACAGGCCATTTACCATTTACCATACATGCATAACAAAGCATATCCATAATACCCTTAGGCCCCCTCTTAGCATTGCTATCACTAATTGATGTGCCAACGTGTTCTTAAGGACCACTCAAGCTGACAGATATGGCTCTATACCATCTGCGGCACTGCAAGTATTTAAATGGGACACCGCAATGTAAATAAGCTATATATCATAAAATGGTTCAGAAAGCCAATCATACCAATACTGTTCAAATTGAACATTTAGAAAGGTTTTCAATACAGGATTTGTATTCATTATTTTTTAAATGATTATATTCTTTTAAACAATACCTGAATAATAGACTGTGCAAGGGCATAAGAATTAACTGGGCTACCACATAGACAGATAAGAGAGAAAAGAGGAAACAGAATTGTTTTGTATTAGGGCTGCTCAATTAATCGAATTTTAATCACGATTACGATCTGGGCTTTCAACGATCATTAAAAATAACTGAGCCGATTATTAGCCCCTCCCTCATTTATCCGCGACACCTTAAAGGCCGGTCCGTGAAAATATTGTTGGGCATAAACCGGTCCGTGGCGCAAAAAAGGTTGGAGACCGCTGATTAAGAGGACCCGAGGGAAGCTCGGAAAGCTAAGCAGAAGTTATTTGGAGAGGAGAGTGACTGCCGTTGGTTGAAAAGAGAGGTAAAAAAAAAAAAAAAAAAAAAAAAAACTTCAGTGGTGTTGCACACTATTTTATATTATTTTTTAAAGTCATTGTTAACCCTTTAAATCCGGTCAGAGCAGCACGCTCCGTTTTGTGTAACTACTTTTAAATCCCTGTAGAATCTGAACCACGTAAGCTAGTGCAATAATTTGTTTTGCATATGAAACCGGAGGAGTTGTACTTACATCTGATGCCATCAGCTTGTCCTCGGTCACGGTTTCCTTCCACATATAGCTTTGCAAAAATTGTATAAAAAGCGCTTGCAGGAACAAAAACATAATATTCCAGAAACATGCTTTGCCGATCCGATCAGCTGTTCATAACACTTCCCACAGTGAAACAGATGTCAGCGCGAACTGTCTCATGTCCGCCATTTCCTGGCCGAAACCGGAAGTGACGTCATTTTCGCGGAAATGTAGTTTTTTACTTGTAGACCTTAAAAACCTCTACTGGTCATGTTTGACTTTTCTGAATAGTTTCTGGGATGCTTAGAACTCGAATTGCACAGCTGGAAATAGTTTATTTTGATGCACCTGCTGTTTTCTTTGCAAATTTGCATCATAGGATTGTTTTTTTTGTTTTTCCTGCAGTGTATATAAAATTGGTGTATCTCCAAAATAAAACTATGAAGACACTCAAAATAAATTTCCTGTTGTTGTAAACTAGTTTTTGCAACTTTTTTGTATTTAAAGTTTTGAAGGATAAACCTCTTAAATTTCTCCAAGTAGAAATATATGTAAAAAAACAAAACAAAAACGATTTTCAATTTTTTTGTAGTTTATTGCACTTTTTTGCAATTAATGTAGTTACTATGGACTTAATGCATACATATTATTAAAATATGGGCTATAACAGTTATTTAGCAACTTGAAATGCTCCCACAAATGGCACTACAACATGTAAAAAAATAATATAAGCTCTGGCGGACTTGGTTCTATAGTAGGTCTTAAAGGGTTAAATAAATATCGTCAAATAATCGCGATCTCAATTTCAGTGAAAATAATCGTGATTATCATTTTTGCCATAATCGAGCAGCCCTATTTTGTATAATTGATATTATTGATAAATGAAAACAGACGACAGCTTCACAGAAATATTGAGTGTCTTCTGTGCAAAAGGTGAGTAAACTAATTCTGAAACCCACTGTATTGTACAGGAGTTATTAAAAAGGTTTCTAAGACCGTATCAATAATAATCAATAAATGACAGTATCAATAATTGCCTGAAAAAGACAAGCTTGGAGAAAGAAGAACATTTTCTTTGCATGCAGTCATTTACAGTAGGTTCACGTCTATCTAAAGTCATGTGTGCACAAATGAAGTACATGCTTCTGAGGTTGTTTGTGTACATTTACATCACAAATGCAGGTATGCACTAATGTATGTATGTTTATGTTTACACATGGATAAACAGGGTACTGTACACAAGCATGTATCTGCACCAATACATCAATGAGAGCACACAATTGCCCATATGTTTCTGTATAGCCAGGGGGGTTTAGCAGCTTACTGGCCCTCCTCCCAGCTTTAGACAGGAACAGGAATTAGACAGACTGTGGGAATTCTTACTGGGATTCAAATCACCAGCTCTAATCAGAAACGGGGAAAAAAAAAAGAAGCAGAAAATCCACCAAACTGTACACTGAGGCTAGTCCTATGGTGGGTATGTGTGTGAGAGTGCAAGAATAAGAATTACGTAATAATCCAGTTCTCTCAACTCCTATCATGACATTATAGAAAGCGGGCTTAGAGCCTTAGTAGTGTGTATTAGTGTAGTAGTGTGCGCAGATAGAGCCTCACATCTCACTGGAGTAGGAGAAGGTCCTTGGAGGATACGGCATTTGTGTGTGTGACATGTGCATGTATGTGTGTGTGTTATGCCTCTGCATGGCATAAAATGGGTCAACCTTGTTATTGTATGAATAATATAAAAGCCTACTTAAATGCACAATCCAAGGTTGTATAGTGATGACAACAAGCCAAATTAAAGCTACAGATGTGATAACACTCTTTCTTATTGTGGAAAGTCTGTGAAGTGTATGTTCTGAATCAACACAAATGGCCATTTATTAAGGATAGACTACATATATTTGGCACAACCTCAATAGTATAATAGCTTAATTTGAATGGTAATTCTCCAGACTGCTGCCTGGCCACTGAGTTCAGGCAGATGTAGTGAACTGATGACTCTAAAGCACTCACAGGCAGTGGTGGAGTCCCCACTGAAGCACAAGCCTGAGGGTCATTTTGACCTGTCCTGAGGTTGAGCAATGATATTAAAATCAGGAACAAGTAGATAAAACTCCAAATGCAAGCATCAAGCAAACTGCCACCATCAACTATTAAGAGCATTATCTTTCTGCAATTTTGTAGACTCCACAAAGATGCACACATGCAACCTGCACCCTTCTCTCATCAAAGGAAGCAAAGTCTACCTGCTTCTATATGCATAATATTAGACAAATCACCCACCATTACATAATAAAGGATTGGTGGAGAGAGCAATAATAAAAAGGATAGATAATGTATTTGAAGAAATAGGTGTCAGGACTGTCAAAAACAGGTATATCAGTATTTTGCACATGTCTCAACTCTGTATATTTTTATATATTTTATTTATTGTTTACTCTATTTAATTTGTAAAATATGTGTACACACACACACACACACACGTAGAAAAATATTTAGTATACACATCCAGAAATGCATATACTATTATATATTGTACATATATTTATTAGTTTCAGATGTAGCCATTCTTGTATTTTGCTTGTTTACATTATTGTATTTTGCACAACTCTGTTGCTTGTGAAGCTCGCACACAAAAATTTCACTCACGTGTACTGTACCAATGTACCTGCACATGTGATGTGACAATAAAAGTGACAATAAAAGTGATTTGATTTGATTTGATTATTGGAGCTTTCAGTTTAAGCTCAAGGGTTATTTTTTTGTTTGTTTTTAAGGACAGATTTTGCAGTTTGTAGCTCTTATCTGTGTACTACAAATAACCCATCAAATTAAATTTATTATGGGCATGATATTCAGTCAAACAGAATCTAATATTCTGACACATGGGGTTATCATGCAAGATTAGCAGTCTGTTGGTTTGGTGAACAGAGTGGCCTGGAATGGAGTGAAATTCGAGGCCTAAATTATTGTTGCAGTCTGTCTCTGTTCACAGTTAATTCATCTTCTTTCAAATGGTAGCCACACTCACGAGGACGTATGCAGGAAGCATGAAGAGTTAGGCATATTATATAAAATAAACACAAAAAACCCTTTCATTTCTTTGACAGATAGATTTCCATTCTCATATGAAGCCATGACACAAAGCTGCTAAGGGCATTAACATTTAATCAGGTGGCAGAATCACTTCAGGCTATGTGAGCCCCTGTTTTCCTATGAAGAAAGTGAAGACATGAAACATTTGCAGCTAAAGTCAAAAGTTCACTCCGTTTCATCCTCGACACCTTGCCAGTTACATTTTTAAGCAGTATTTGTGACCTGTCTTATGGACCTGATTGTGAAGCAGCTCTCTAAAGTGTGAACTTAACAGATTCTTTGCCCTTGAGCTCACAAGACTGACAGTGAGGGGAAGTCGAGACATTTCAAATAAGTCTTTATCCTTGCCTAGAGAGGCGTTCTGTAACCAAAATCATTCCTCTCTACCACACCCAATCCCCACAAGCTTTTTTCCTCCCCAATCAGGGTGTGACTCAGCAGCAAGTTTTGCCTACGGAACAGAATGTACACTCACTCACACACGCGCGCTTTCCTTTTCACCGATTCCAATGATGGCTGTGGGCTCTCTGTGTAAAGATGACAAGTTGGCAGAAGGATTTACATTTTTGCCTAATTCATAAAAGACTGCAAACCACAGACAAACCTCAAGTTCTTCAATCGCTACAGCTTAGTGGTGCCCGAGCAAAATTACTTTCTATGGAAAACTGAAAACAACTGTGGTATAACAAAGTAAACCAAACAAAAACGTTCCTTTTAATGCAACCCTTGTCCACCAAATTCAACTGCAGTACTTAATCAGAGTCACTTCAAAAACACAATCACCATGACTATAGAAAAAAAGAACAGTGATGTAGCTGTGACATAACATGAACTTTCATTTTAATTTAAACTGCTGTTAACTTCAAAACTGGTCCAGGCAAGAAAGTTTTTTTCATGTCACAACCTGAGGAAAAAGTCTTGCAAATCAGTGTGAAAGAGAGGTGATTGGCTGTTAAGTACATCAGAGAGCCAGCAGGGCAGAAGCTTTCAATATTGACCCAGTTTGCATTTGGCTGATCCCTGTGTCATCTGTCTTAACTGTAACATGAAGGGGATTTCTGACACACAAATGAATTCATTGTATTAAAAATAAAATAAAACAAAAAATAAAAAACTGCTCATAGACAGATTGTCATAATATGCAAAAACAATACATCAAACAGCCTCAGAGAGTCAAATACATAACCTACCTGTAGAAATGTGTTGAGGGGTATGTAGGACTAGCCTGTCTTCCCTCTCTCTTCTCGGTTTAAATCCAGTGTTGCATTTTTTCAGATGCCCTCATGACTGGTGGAATACTGCTCCTGGGGTTTAAAAAAAAAAAAAAGAGGCAAAAACAAACAAATAAAATTTTGGGTGGGATATTTTAGACACTATGATTATCAATTTGATCTCGTATCATTAGCTTCACTCTGAAAGTGCCTACTTTGTCAACCATTTAGTATTTTTTCCCCATTTCACAACATTTTACAGTCTCAACAAGCATCTGAACTACATTTTATATCATCTTCCTTACTCTAGAGTACCAAAGGGTTGTTCATTGGCTCATAAAACAAGAAAGGAGGAAAGTAATATTTACCAGTAAGAACCATAAGGAATTCTTTACAGCCATAGGTGTAGTGCTCACAGAGTGTACGGTAACAAAGGTCACTAAATCATCACTGAGCGTAAATAATCAAAAGTGTCATGTAAAAATTTAATTTCGATTGATTGATTCATCAGGTCAACAGCATATATATGAGATACACTAAATTATAACTGTAACCATGCCATAGGTGGACTCTGGAACTGAAACAAATAGCATGACACATCTGATAACAGCAGATGGTGAAATGACTCAACAGCCAATGAAAATCTTTGTAGTGATAGATACTTATTATGTTCTCAGTTTCGGGAAAGATGGCAATGTAATTTCCATAACAAAAACAGAAAATTTAGCGGAAATGTAATCTGTGTACATTTTCTCAAAAAGGCGGGCTTGAGATGTTTTTTGCCTTAAAATGCTCATTGGTATAACTTTATTCAGTGCAGCAGTAAAAATACAGGCACCATCTTCATGGATCCACAGTCTACCTTTATGCAGAACGACAGATACAAAAACCATGTTCGTGTTGAGTGATTTTCTACACCCACTTGGCCATTTTCACAGGGAGCTCGAGGTCTATGCCAGACTACAGTCAGCTGACAACATCTCAGGCTAGATATCCGAGCATTTTATATGAAGAAGTGCTTCCTATTTTGCAGACAAATGCATCTTCTTTCAAATACATGAGTTCAAGGACACTACATACAGTGCTTATGGACACAAGCTTTTGCAAGCACACCCACAAGCAAGCATAATATTTTGTTTTCATCCACGTACACACACAGTATTACACATATAGTCGATTCACACATACACATCAAATCTGAGAGAGTTGTTCTGACAGCAGAGCGCTGTCAGCTACTGGGCTTTATTTCGTTCTGACAAGCAGGTGGAACAGCATCAACTACCAGTGAATCCAACCTCACCCACAACTACATAATCGTTTTGAGACGGGCACACAATAAAAATCAATTGTTGTCTCGGACAATCAAGATTTACAGTAGATCTGTTATTTAGGACACAAATGACACTGTGACCTTTTTGTTTGAGCAACCGAATTCCTGTGTCTAATCAAACTGGAATGAGTCCTTTCCTCATCTCCTCTGCCTCCCACATTACAGCCATTTTTACCCTTCTCTCTCTCTCTCTCTGTGTCTTATTGGTTAACCCCCACTACTTCCTCCTTTCTCTTTTTGATGGTGCCGAGTGGCAGATTGGACGCTCAAAGGAACCACATTCAATAATAAAACAGGGAGAGGGGATTCAGAGATGAGAGAAGAGAGATAAAAATGTATTGTGCCCCTTCTGAGTGTCCCTGAATGATTTATAACACAACTGACGCTTGCATGAGCCTCTGGGAAAGTTGTGGCTGCACTTCTCCTCCTCCTCGCTTACTCCACCCTGCCTGGCATTTATGACCAAGCAACAATGAAAAGAAAAATATGTACAGTCTATGTAGTGGGAATAAGTATAACAGTACAGGTTTATTTGCATCTTTTATTTGAGTCTTCGAGTTCTTGACGAGGTCAGTTTTATTTGATGGACTGATAAGAACATAAAGGCAGCATTGTGAGTGTTTTAAAGAGGTTTAGATTGTCTTCACTTTGAAATAAAATAATACATTTTATACTGATGTACTGTACTGTGTGAGCTATATAAGGGCTTTTAAAATACACTACTTTGAAATGAGTCAAAATCTTGTTCAGTTAATTATGTGACATGGCTGTACAAATTGTAATAATTTCATTGAAACAATCTTTTATCAAATTGGATTGCTGATTAATTATCTGTTAACTGAGCAATTAGTTAATGGATTAAGGGTTAGAGGTATAAACACAGAAAATGCATGCAGACTGTAAAGATACTTCATTTGAATAAAAAAAAAAAACATGAATATTTTATGTACAGTACAAAAATGAAGAATAAATCAGCAGAATGAGTTACAATAGATAAACCCTGTTGTCACAAGCGAACATAATCGAGTCTTAAGGCAATTTTGTAAATACTGGTCCTTTACACATTTTATGTGAATGAAACAGAAAAGAGGTCATATTAAATTGAAAAAAAATGAAAGTTAAACTGGAATGTCTCCTGGCCTGGTGGCTGAGAAGCATACTGCTGCAATGCTAACCAAATGTTTCAGAGCATTCAGTGGATGTGCATACATGTGAGTCGTGGTGTTGGAGGAAAAGAGAAGGTTATAAAGGTTAGCGGGCCAGCTGCAGCATGACATGATGAAATGTGCTTTAACAAAGGAAAAAAAAAAAAAAAAAAAAAAAAAACAGAAAAATGGCTGAGACTAAGGCACAGAGCATGTGGTAATCACTTAAACAGTAAAGTTTAAAAAAAAAAAAAGGGTTAGGGATATTGTGGGTTTGTAGAAGATAAGTTAAAGAGTGTGACAGCCCATGTGAAAAGTTTCTGATTTTAAGGCTCTTAACTAGTCCATGCTCACCTGTACAAACATAAATGAGTGAAATACTAATCAAATTACTTCTTATTCCAAGTTCAGAAGAATTAAGGTAACGTATGCTCTGGAAAACATGCATAACAGCATCTCTGACATTCTATGTTAACATTCTTTCATAAACTTCATTAGTGTATTGCCTAGAAATCAAAATCCTGAAATCCATCTCTTACTTTCTGTTCCTCCTGTTATGACACACTGTGATATGAATCAGAAATCTTGAGTCACATGTTGTCAATTTCCAAGACACAACTTGGCCAACAAAAACTGCTTCAACCGCCTAACATTGCATTTCTTATTTTTGGTTGAAAAAAATAAAAAATAAAACAAAAAAAGAAAAACTGCTTTCAAGGGGATTGGCCAAACAATTCATCAAGTGAGATGTCAGGGTGTCAAACATGGACTTTGTCCAACTTTAATCCCCTTTTAGTTTCAGTTTTTAGATGTAAAAACAAAATGTCACAAAACTGATTGTAGACGTTATAAACAATGACATCACTTCCTTCATGAAAACCTGGGGAATTTTGTGCAATCTAAGAACTGAAAGCACGAGAAATGGTGTCAGTAGCCAACTTTTGAATTATGTGCATAATTGGAGCACTAAAAACCAGTTAGGCTAGTTTGATAGTTCATCCTTCTTTTTTGAGTGTTGATTTTCCTAAATTTAAATGAATGACACCAATACTCAGAGTTTACAAATGTAATCAATGACTCCCAGTGTGGCTGAGGATGACTGAGGTGGGTTTTTGATGAGTCATTTTGGAGTTGTGCTTAAAATCATGTCCCATAGTGACACACCGCTTTATTTAAAGCCGAGGCAACCAAAATGCGAGGCTATTTCAACAACACGAAAAATTCTTCCCGGATGAAAATAAACTAATCCAGCGAGATAGAAAGAAACTAAACATTATGTTCTGATTATTCTGCCAGGGTGGCATGGTGTGGATTTTTATAGCAGTGACTCATTTTCACACAGTGAAGAATACACACATACACATACATAGTTTATGCTGTAAAGCAGGATTTGGAGACTTCAGGGCAGCTCTCATCTCAAGAGCTTAGTGGCACTACTGAGACATGCATGCATACAAACGCACAAACGCACACAAGACTGTTACCTTCTCAGATTAGTTTTAAGCCTAATGCCAACATAAATGTAGGCGTTGGTGGATTGAGGGACAAATACTAGACAAATAAGTGGCCCATCCACCGACCTAAACCCTGGGCCAATTCTTACTCATTAGTTTATTTGAAGTGATTCGCTCTTGTTGCCTTAAAGCAACAACAGCTCAGAACCTTACAGTGGGTACTTTATTTGTGCTTTAGATGACTTATGATGAACTCTGCACAGATTACTTTGATGGACCTCTACATTTCTATCTCGCTTAAGCACCGTGGGGATGAAGTACAGATTAGAGATGAGCTAGTGTGCCTACGATCGTGACTTAAACTAATGCAGAGACAACAAATGTAATCGGCAGCTTTATCAGCAGAATGGGGGTTTTTTTTGTTTGTTTTTGGGGGGTTTCCATTGTGTGAATGGAAAAAAAAAAAATGTGGAAGACTTTTGGTCAGTAATCACATCCTTAAAGAAAAAAGGGAAAAAACTAAGTCCCCACTCTATAAAAAACTATGTCTGGATCGCCATAACTTTCACAGGAAGCATTTTAAAAATCATGCATAGAGCTAGAAAAGGCTCCGTGGCATTTGTCAGCTCTAGGTAAGATTGTCTGTTTACTACTGTGTGAGGGGGGAGGGGGAAAAAAAGAAGAAGAAGTGTTGTTATGCTTCCTACCACTGATTACCCTGAAAATTCACATAATGTAAAATAAGGATGCAAGGATAGGGGAAAAAACATCTGCAGAAGTCTTGATTTGACTGGCCAAAAACCCTCACAAAAAAACCCAACAAAAAACAAAGGATTCATGTTCCCTGTAACACAAACACTAAATAAGAATGGTGTTAACAGAAGCGCAAGATGAAAACATTTTTAAAGTATACTCCAAATAATATCAGCTGGATGTTCCACAACACTTGTGGATGATATTCTGCAGTCACATGATTTAAACTATTTAGAGGGGGGCAAAAAGGCACCACTCAACAACAAAACTGTATTCCAGCTGTGAAACATAGTGGAGGCCAATATCATGGCTTGCTACCCCAGGGCCTGGATGCTTTGCAATAACTGAAGAAACTTTTAATTCAAATCTGAATCAAGAAATTTTACAAAAAAAAAAAAAAAATGTCAGGGG